GACACCTTAAAACGCTGGGTAACAGGTACGCAATATACTAAGGTATACTACCTACTCAAACTTCTACTTTGTATGAACAGTACCTGCAGGTCATAAAAAATGCACTTGACCAAAGGGAGTAAAGAGAAGGAGAAGGACTTTGAAACGATATGGCCCCTATCGCGCCAAGGCCTGGAAAAGACGCCCCGAGGGCCATGCTCCACAGCCGCTAACAAGCTTCTGGACCAGATAAAGGAAGCCATTGCACCTCGTGAGCATAGCGTTTACAGGCGCCAACCTCAAATAGGAAACACGTTGCTCATCAACCTCTGCCGGGATTGGCTGATTGATTAGTTGTGCGTGTGCGTGTGTGTATGGGGGGGTGGGGTGGTTTTGTACCACCAATCCACAAAGGCGTGAGGACCCTCGGAACTGGCCAAAATTCGACCACTTGGGCTACATTAATGCCACACACTCTCTTTGCCATTTCGTCAGGCGTGGCCACTGACTGGTCACATCAGCAGTAACTGCGTACGGGCGGGCCGAAAGCGCCCCCTCCCTCCTCCCCAGTTGCCATCTCATTAGTGGATGCCGCAAGGGTTGGGCTGGTTCTTTCGCCCTCCCTTGCGGTTCGCAACTGGGGCAAACCAGCATTCCTCGAAATTTCTTTGCGCCTTCCTTCGTGTTCTGGAAAAGGTTAGAAATTCCAGTTTTCCGTTTTTTTTTTTTTTTTTTTTTTGTTCTTTTTTTCTTTGTCGGCTAGTTTCCCGACAACGGTTTGCAATGATGAAATCAATCACCCGGAATTTGGCACTGAGTCCGCGACCACGACCGGGATCGGAGGATGCGCTTCTTCTCGTTAACCGTTACCACCACCAGTCTCCTGTGACACATACACCAGTATGCTGCATTTCTGCAGGCCCTTGCAGGCGCGTTTGGGGAAAGCCACTAAACACATCCCCGGACTAGGGTCATTACTGGTGATACCACGCCGTCCAGCCGTTCCGCCCCTAGGATTGGACGTTGCAAAGGATGTGGATGGGGGTTAATCTCCTGGGTAATAATCGGAATTGGCGCTCAGAAGCTGATGGCGCTTAGCACGATGTTGTTTTCCTGTACTAGAACTATTCCAGCGTAGCATGGCACTAGTTATTTACCCCATAACTGGAGCAGTCGACTCCGCGATTGACTCCGCGAAGAACAGTAGCACGCAGCTTGTGCTGCTCCTATCTGCTGGTGTCTCTTTTGTCTGCAACCACACACACCCCTCGTCGGCTTGCAGATCCGCCCATTACCACCACCACCTTCTACACGCTACTGCACAGGAGGAAGGTTGTTAGTAGGGAATTGCTTTTGCTGCAGCTGGTTTCGAAATTGTTCCATTGGATGTCTGACTTGCACTCATAAGGCGTAAACTCTCTCTCTACAGAGTACACAATCAATGCCACCCTGCAAGCTCTCAAATCTCTACTCTCCCTCTCCCTCTCTCTGCCTTCGGTCTTCGGGTGGAACCCTCATGAATGTATCCCTTTCCCCCCTTGCCTTTTTCGCTGCACAGCCTGCTTGGCATCCTGTAGATCCTGCGCCAGCTTGACCAATCATTGCGGGGTGGCCGCTCTGCACGACACCGTCAGGCCGTCGTGCGCCTTTGAGATCATATTCATCATTATCGTCCGTTGAGAGGGGGGGCCATCCGGAGAGTTGTTCTCCGACTCCGGATTGGTACAGCTAGTATCGTATCGGTGGGAAGCACATTCACGGTGAGGGTTAGGTGAACATGGATTTTTCAATTGTATAAAGGATTTAAAAACAATGCTCGGAGTACTCCGTTCGGGCGTGGTAATAGTATGCTTTGTTTCGCCGTTCCGGTGGTAGTGGGCGGAACTTCGTCTTTCTACTCACTACTAAAGTATCATCGCGCCAAGTAGATGGCCATGTGTCTTGTGGATGCGTGGATGCGACAACACATCTGGGCTGGACTAATTAACGAGCTCACCATTGCATCTAGGCAGCTCTTCCATCTGGCATTGGCTCAGTTGTGTGTGGGTTTCAAGCACAGCGGCAATGCAAACCCCAGCTTGTTTGCTGACAGTGTGTGTCTTTGTATGTATGTAGCTGGTACCTCTGCGACCTGCTGCGGTCACCGGGAGGGCTCAGGTACATGTACTCCGTAGCCTAAGGTTCTTAGCTCGTTCGATTCGATCCTGCGCTGGGGCTACGGCGGACTGCGATCGAGTCCAGACTGGCACATACGAGCCCAGTTGCCACCACCTCTTACTGTAGTCTTTTCTCGTCCCCTCCCAAACCGCATCAGGCAATCAACTTGATCAAAGCTTTCTGCATTGAACGCAGGCGCCTTCTCCATACAAAAGCTGCAAGAAATCCGGTTCCTGGGCGCCTAAATGAGTTGTTGCCGTCTTTAAGTTTCTAATTTTGTTCTACTATTCTTCTTCCGTTGCGGAATCTCGCTTGTGCTGTAGGGTGCATCATATCATATATCACATTCACCTTTCTACTTCTGTGTACCGGGCGTTGAATACCTACAGCAAACATACATACATTAAACTCCACGTCTGCTTGTTCGGCTTGCTTGCCTGCCTGCCTACTTTTACTCGCCTGCAACCTACATAAGCTCCGCTATCTATCATTTTTGATCAGCCCTGAGCGATTTTTTTCCCCCCTACCCCATCCTCGTTGCTGCACCGTTGAGATATATTGGCGTGGAACGCGCGTTTTGGCGACCGCCCCCTTGCTGCCGGTCTCCTTCTACGGATATTCTGTTGCGGGAGGTCGCATTTCAATTGACGCATGGTGAGTGAACGACATTGGTTTCTCCTTCATTCTTTCTAGAAAGCGACTTTCTTTTCTTTTTTCTTTTTTTTTTCTCATTTCCCTTTTAACTATTTCCCTCAATTTCTTTACGGTTTTGGGTCCATTCCTTTGGCCCCTTCCTTTTCTGGTTTATTTTAATGTTATTTCTTGATTTTGTGTTGGCTATGTTGTTACCCCATTGTGCTTGTCATATTTTCGGTCGCTCCACTATGCTGTTTCAACTGCAATCCATGACGGGATATTGCTTTGGGGTCCGCCGGTCGATCGATCGATCGACCTGGTCCATATCATCATAGCAACAACCGCAGCCATAGTGGTAGTGAGCACTACGCGACAAGCCAAGGCAGATGGGAATCCACAGAGCTGAGAGCGAGAGAGAGAGAGAGGGCCCAACGAGTCATTCACTTTGAAGGGCAGAACACACAAGCGCCAGGATCCACCATGGTCGGTTTTATATTCCACACCACCTTCGGGACCGTGATGGGAATTGAGTAGTTAGCGGCGGCAGCAGCAGCAGCACATACCACACAACATGACCTTGCAACAACGAGTTTGACTGACTGACCCAACGCTAAACTTGCGTTGCTATGGATCCACATTCGGCCTCACATCCAGCAGCTGGAACTCTGGATTACTTCATCGGGCGGAGATCCATCGCGCGTCCTGGTGATCCATTCAGGACCAGCGACGGGAGCCAATTTCCATTCACGGTCTCCACCTTTTGGTCTCTCAGATCCTTTTGGGTTGCAATGTTTGCGAGTCACTCCCTGGGCTAGTGTCTGAGGCATGCCTTAGGAGCATGACGTGATTCTCTCCTGGTTGGCCATGCCTCTTTTGCTATCTACTAGCCGCGTAGTCCTCATCCTGTGTGTGTGTGAGTTTGTCTGTGGTTCTAGAAAGTCTGTCCGGGGTCAGTCAGTCAGTCATCTTTGCTTTCATGATCAGCATGGAATCTTTTTCCTGCTGGTCTTTCTTCCCCATCCTGCTTTAAATTCTTCTCTCTATAATGAAGAATAAGCGGAATTAGGGAATTAGAAAGAAAAGAAAAAAGGAAAATCAGAAGGGGAAAAAAGAAAGAAAAAGAAAAAAGAAAAAGAAAAAAAAAAAGCCGAATTGGGAAGGAGGAGACAAAGAAATTCGCAGCCCGCTCTCTGCCTCTCCAAAAGTGACGATTTTCTTTTTTGAATCATTTTCGATTTTCCCTGCTTTCTCTTGCCCCTTCTGATTTTTACTTTTACGTTTTGGGGGGTGGGTGGCATTATTCTTTTGAGCTGCAACTGTGACTGGCTGGAGGGGCTCCATCCAGTTTGGCGTGATAGGCTGGGGCTCATCCTGGGTACGATCGACCGGGAAGTCTCGTCAGCGGTGATTCGTGGTGGGAAAGGCGAGGTTCCCATGGGAATTGCAGAGGGAGAACATCCACTTCCAGCCAACGTGGATGGGCTCTGGAAGTGAGGAAATCTTGGGCCGCCGGTTGTTCCTGTGGGCCAGCAAATCCAGCAAATCCACCCACTGGCTTCTCGATTTTCACTTTCTGGCCCCCCTCTCTTTCTTTCTCTCTCTCGCGCTCTCTCCACTCCACTTACTCACCTTCCTGTGCGGCGCGCCCCCCCGCCCCACCACCACCCTCTTCTCTCTTGAGTCTCTCAGTCTCAGTCTCTTTTCCCCCCGGGTGCTCGACGCTTCCGTGCAGGTTCTGAGAACTTTTGAAGGGGTCCTGATCGGCATCACCTCACTCCACCCACCACTGGCCCGTCCTGCCTTGTTTCTTCCACTCTTCCACTCTTCTCTCTCTCTGTGTGTCTCTCTTAACTCTCACGCTCTGGATATGGCTGGCCCTCTTATTTGAATACTCACCAGTCTTTCCCCCCTCCCCTCTCTTACTCTCTCTCCTCTGCCATTCGGCTGTGTCTTCTGTGGCGTCATCATCCTCTTTTCTTTTCTCAATTCCCCTTTACTATCGCTGTGCCTGGCCTTAGTCCGGTCTCTTATTATTAACAGCCGTTTTTTTACTTTTTCCTGCCCCCAAATTTCCCAATTACCGACTTTCCTCTCATATACACACAACCCCCGTCTTCTCTGACCCTTCTGGAAAACCGCCGCTGTTGCCTATACCCTTGCTGCGGGACATCGACACGACTAATCAATCCTTTGTCCACCAAACAGATCTCAATCCTTCACTAACTGAGGTCTTCCCTTATCTACTCAACTCTCTACCTTGCACTACTTACTACCACCACCACCACTACTGTTACCACCTTATCGCCGGGTCTCGCCTCAGCCTGTCTTCCCTCTCAGTGCCGCCTCACCGTCGCGCTGTCTCTCTTTACGCTTCACCATCTGAAACACGGCTTCGCTTATCGACGAGTCTGGCCTCTCCGGAAAGGGTGGCCATCCAACATCCGAGACTGGCGAAGTACCGGATTCACTGCTTGGGCTGTCTCGGAGGATTACAGCACCAACGAGGTGGATTTCGGGGCTTCACTACACCTGCGCCGTACCCCAGTGACCGACGCACGCTGTACGCGATGCTTAAAAAGAAGACCCTGCATCCTCCCATACTCTTCCGACACCATACTCCCAGCACTACACCTGAGCTTTCTCCTACGTCTTCCTCATCGGACAGCGAGTCGGACGAGGACATGGACTCCTCCGGTTCGCGTCCGCTGAGTTTGACGGTTCCTCCGGGTGCTTTCTGTCCCATGCGTCCCTCATTAGATGAGGTGCTGGCCAACACTGCACCTGCCCCCTACACCCTCAGCGCCTTTATGGCCTATCTCTCGCAGAATCACTGTCTGGAGACCTTGGAATTCACCCTGGAGGCCAAGCGGTACCGGGAAACGTACGATGCCCTGAGCCGCCAGCTGAATGAATCGCCTATCGTCACCGACTGCACCGGCAGCCAGCATCTGCGTATGCTCTGGCAGCGACTGTTGACTGCTTACATCCTGCCCGGATCGCCACGGGAGATCAACGTCTCCAGCGAGGTCCGGGATGACATCCTTCGACACGCCAACCTACCGAACCCTCCGCTTCCCGAAACCCTGGACGCTGCCGTAAAACTCGTCCACGATTTGATGGAGGAGTCGATCTTCCTGCCGTTCCTCAACTCGCATGCCTCGACCGCTCACGTCTTGCCGCTATCGGAGCCGCTGTTTCCCCATGAGGACGATATCACCGTCGTATCGAATTCGAGCTTCGACGAGCACACGGCCAGTCGGGGTCGATCGAAGAGGAGACGGCAGTCCCCCCAGTCTTCCAAAGATCTGGGATCGCCGGTGTCCGTCGGTTCTCCGCCTAGCCGCTCGAACTTCTCCTTGAGTGCAATGACTTCGATGGGCAAGGTCGGCCATCGGACTTTGGGACAAGTCTCCAACGCCAGCGGAGATTCCGCGTCTGGAGCTTTGACTGATGACTCGGGAAGCCTGCAATCGAGCGCCAGTGTAGGCGAACCAATGACACCGCCGACTACGCCGCCTTCCAGTGATCCCCATTGCATGCACTTGGCCCACAGCCCGAAGCGCACCGACAACCCATGGAAAAAGATGGGACTGAAGTTGGGCTTCAAAAAGCGCTCGGGCCACGGAGGCTCCGGCAACCAACATTTCAAGTTTTCTGGCATGGACGAATGACTGGCCGTTCAGAACCGGCCAACAACAACCTTACCGAAATCACACCCTATCTGGCAGAGCGTCAAAGCTCTGATGATATCCCTCAACACTCACTCCCTCGCTCGCTATTCTCGTCGGACCGCCGAAAATGGCATCCTGATCTCTCCCCCTCTCACCGCATCGGCTAGACCGCATGATCCGATCTGCATAACCTGATATCGCATATATGATTGATCTCTCGGTTATTGAGCGAATATGTCGCATTGACTCATTGACTACGAGTGGACGGTGTAATGCATGTGCATTATGATTTAAGCATAACTCGGCGTTCTGTCTCATGTTCTTTTTGCCCTTTGTTTTCCCACTTGCATCGAAGCAAGCGACCAAGCGTGCATCATTCCATTTGTCATCAACAAAAACATATAGACTTGGGGGGTTTGTCCTTTTTTTTTTTCCAAAACGGGGGTGGTGGTTGTCTGTTATCTCTCTTGGCGTTTTGTGTCTGTATCCATATTGAAATCTTTCAAGGGGGGTTGTGTGGGGTGTCGAGTGACATTCTGTTGATGTGCGCGTGCATGGGAGTTGTTCTTATCCCCCTTCTGTTCGAAGGGCATGATTGCATTGTCTTTCTTGGGATGGCATATGAGGTGCTTTTCTTTCATATGCTGTTTCCTTATTTCCTTCTCCTCCGTGTTTTAGCATCACACTTTGCATTAGCATTAGCATTGGCATCACTGTGTACTGGTCGATAGATACCCATGGATTGGATGCTTTTTATCTCTGAATATTCTTTTTTCAGTGCCCAAAATGTAGGGTCCAGTAGATTATAGACTAAACTGTCTTGTCAGAAGGTAAACAATCTGGTATGGAACCCTTTTTCTCACCCATCATTCATACTTCTTCCTACCTACAGTTTCCACACGTATGTAGCGATCGTCTCAAAATATTTACTATCTTTTATCCTACAACTCCGTCACTAACCTACACACAAGTACACTAGGTAATTAACCAGTCATAGTCAGGCAGATAGACAGGCGGACAGCAATGCCTAAAAAAATTACACCACGACTCTCCTTCCCGATCTGGTTTCCAACGCAGCAATGCTCAAATCCCAGCCATTATCGATCAATGCAGTAGTATACCGATTGAACCTCGAGCCTTCATTCAGGAACTCTAACGTCCGCTCCAGTACATTCATCGTAGTTTCTACCTGGTCTGAGGTACTGGTGGAGTCTGCTGTCGCTGCTGATGACGTCGACAAGACCCTTGCAGCCAGCAAGGCATGCGCCCATGCCTTGAGCTGGGATTGACTGGTAGTAGTATTCTTGAGCAGGATGTTTGCGTGCCATGTTGGGTTCTTTTTGCTGCTTCTGCTGCTGTTGGTGAGGTAGAGGATGTAGTCTTCTTTGCTGAAGAGGGTGGTGAGTTGGGGTATTGGGACTGGGGTTCGGAGGGATCGAGAGGAGGTTGTTGATCGTGTGCTGCTGGATGGTGCGGTGGAAGAGAGGAATTGGTGCAGGGAGATGCCTATACGGCAGTAACCAAGGGTTTGAGGGGGTTTCATTGTTGGGGACCAGCGGAGGATGCCGTCTGTTTCGAAGATTTTCTCTTTCTTGGAGACTTGGGCTGGGGTTAGGGTCTTCCAGGAGGGCGGTTGGTGGGAGTGTTGTGCAGGGGTTTGTTGCTGTTTGGATGGCTCTGGGTGGAGGAGTCGTGTGAGGTCTGGGTCGGTGTTTAGGAGGGTTGAGAAGACGATGTTTGCTCGCTGCCTGTTGAGACTGGTCATTTGGACGGAGCGGACGGCCGCATAATTGAGACTGAGGTGCAGGGCCTGAAGTATCAAGAGGCATATCCAGGTAGTGGAGAAACTTGTCACGCGGGAGACGACGAAGGAGCCGACCTGTGTGTTTCTTGGTCAGGCTCGCTCTGGAGAAGATGAGTTGTAGTAACTAGGGTCCTGGCTTACGAGCATTCCGATGAGTGATATGATTGTCTCTTGCGACGAATCTTTCTGTTGACAAGAAGTCAGTGATCGCGGCCTAGGCGCAGGGTTCGAATAAAGGTTGATTGATTCACTTACGGCATTGACCTCAGCGAGGTTCCCCCAGCGAGAGAAATGTGCACTTAGACTCGCCTTGGAACTCCCCCCTGCTACTCCGCATAAAGCGCGAAGCACACCTGCTGTGCTGAGTACGGTGACTCGAGGAGCACCTGCAGGGATCATTGGTGAGAGACAGTCAAGGATCATTGCTAGATCGTTAAAGATGTCCGCTGCAAGCCGGTACATCTTGCATTCTGGCTCGAGAGCAGTACCGACCCGGTGCGCGAAGAGGATCGTCGCGATACGGCCAGAGGTATCTTGGAGGATGTGCAGCAGTAGGGCTGCGGTGGGGGAGGCATCGGCGTTGCCAACTCCAACGCCTAAGGGCTGTTAGAACAGGATTTCCTGGGGACCAGTTGTTGGGTGGAATTAGAGCAGCCACCAACCTTGCAGCACCGCTCTCGAGGATAGGAGGCCAGCAATCGAGCTGCTGAAGGCTTGGAGAGAGTCCTTCGTGAATTAGCTGTCTAGTCTGATAGGGGCTGGTATGGTACGCTTGACGCATTTGACATACAAACAATTGGTATCTGTATGAATTAGCAGAGCCCAATGCTAGGGTGATAAAATCAACAGTATCTTACGGCGCATAGTCATCTGTGACACTGTGGGGATATCCAGCAGGAAGGAAGACCTCAACTAGAAAGTCTTGAACGCTCTTTGAAGACCAAGCTGCCGGAGCAGTGGAGGAAGCATGCTAGCAGGAAATTGGTTAAATTGGAACGACAGCTTTGCAGCCTGGTGCGCGGATTTGGGTAACATTGGTCATCACTAACTGCCACATCCACGCGTCCCCAATTCTCTCCATGTTTCTTGCCATGCTCACGATGTGCAGGGCCCGCTGCGGGCTCGGAGTAAATGTAGGTTGCGGTAGGATGGTTAACCTCGTCCACCTCGGTGAAGGTTATTGCGGTGCTGTCCTCTTTAGGCGCCATTATGTGGCGCGTAATTATTTGGTCTCGATCGATGTCTTATTTGAGACCTGACGTGATGTTGGAGACGCGTGAATCGATGGGAGTTGTATAGGAGATTGTTGTTGCGTGGCAGCAGTTGACGCTAAGAACACGGGCACGTGTCATGACATCTGCCCGCAGCAGTCCGGCAGAATAGCAGATGGATGACCAGTATCTCTCTACAGTAGACTACGTAACTGCGGAGTGTCCTGTTAATTTGATTGATTGTATTCAAGGTCTCCTCGAGCCCCAGTATTTAGTACTAATGAACCTCAGGGAAGAACTCAAAAGGCCCCGTAAAACGAGAATAGTCCAACATGCAGCAGACTTTTGGATCCGAATGAAACAACCATCTATGCACAGAAATCCGAAGATATCTCAGCAAGCCCCAGCCAGACAACAAGAAAGCATCCGTCATGTGTCGCGCCCCAAGTACAAGTAATCCAAACCGCTAAGCTCCGAAACAAGCAACCACCAGCGCCGTGACCGAAAAGAAAAGCATGAAAAAGAAGCCATCGAAGAAGAGCAGGGACGGAAGCAGCTCCTGGTTGGACAATGCCAACAAACGACCCATCACCAGTATGCGACGGTGCTCCCAGTCCCTGATTACGGTACCATCCAAGTTCCGATAATGCGAGACGAACCAGGCCCCACAACTCGCCTGTTACTCCATGGTTGAATTTGGAGAGAACAACGGCTGCCACGGCCCCAAGCCAATGGTCGTACTCTATTTTAACACGATAGTGTTTCGTCAATCACCAAACCGTGACCGCTACCGTTGCGTCATCTCTCGTTGAGTGATATCCGGAAGGATCTAAGCGAACAGGCTGGCACCGCCGGTCTCAATGGCCTCAATCTCAGCCTCGGACCAAGGAAGACGGTGGAAGCGAGCAGGAAGCTCGTCGCGGTCGAAAAATTCACCCTGCTTAGGCTGAACGGGGCCCAGAGATGCACCAGAGCTGCGGCCAATGCCCTGAGAGAAAGAGGCACGGCCAAGAGGGCCGTGCTGCTGAGCCTTGATACGGTAGGCGGCGAAGGAGTCCGGGAGGATTCCGGAAGGAGAAGCGGGGTGAGGACGGGGGGTGTGGTCAACGGACTCTGTAGATGGTCATGTTAGACACAAGGAGCAGGCGCGTAGAGTTGACGGGGTTGGAATACATACGAGGCACGGAACGCCGGCCGAGGAACCGGATGAGGGGGGTGCGGGCAGCGCTGCGCAGAGCAAAAGTGGCACGCATTTTGAATGGTGGGAAGAAAGAAGGTAGGGGGTTTATAGATTATAAGGTAGTCGTGAGGATGGAGAGCGAGGAATCGAGAGAAACCGCTGGTGTCCGACGCGACCGAATTAAGCGATTAATAAGTTGTTTGTTGGAAGTGGAAGAGGAAGTTTGGAAGGCAGGCAATTCTCCACGACAAGGACACAGAAGGCCTATATATTTTTGTAGGGGGAAAAGGAAAAGTGGCAAGGACTGTACAGAAGGCTGTCTGGAGGAAGGAAAAAGAGCAGGAGGAATTGGAAAGACTGGAGGGGAAAGGGAAGAGGAATGAATGAGGAGGAGGAGAGGAAAATGCCGACGAGGGTCGGAGCGGAAGCGAGGGTGTGGGTTTTGATAAGCAAGCTTGGTGGTATGGAGTAATACGGGTTATTAACGAGAAACCCGCCGCCGGATTTTATGATCCGGACTTTTGCCTTCCCATCCATCAATCTGGCACGATTACTATTCCTTGGACGTCTTGTCTATGCTGCTTGTGGTATGATCAGAGACCTAACGTTTGACTAGCTGCTCATCGCCAATTCGATAGCGACGACATCATTTTCCCCATCTTTTCCCCAAATCAGATAGACTGTTAGTGTTAGGATGATTGACACCTGATGATACTCGCCGACGGCCCCGATCCTTGCCCAAACCCGCATTCCCGGTGAAGGAAGACCCGTGCCTGACTGGCCAGTGAGTTTGGGGGACCTGCATCGGTGCTGCTCTCGAATCGCCTTTCCTCCCGACGCTTTCACTGCACGTCTCTTTCGCGTTCCCCTCATTCGTAGGATTCCCCGGAGGACGTTGTGCTCCAGTTGGTGTAACTCCTCTGTATCTCTCTTATCTCAGATCACCTGAGCGGAGAACATCACCGTAGTCTGGCGTGATCCCCCTCACACATGCACAATGCACACACTCTCTTTGTGTGTAAGACTGTACTTTTTACCTTCCGGGATCTGACCCCCGCAAGCCTTGGGAAGGAGGGCAACTCAACTTCACTAGTCATTCCTTTCCCCTCCCCCCATCTTGGCATTTGCTCGGATGAAAAGAGTCTACCCCAACTAGCCTGTCCAAAAGGGGAAATTTTCAACACACAAGTTAAGCATTTATCAAGATGAACAGGGAAAGGAAAAAAAAATTCATAAAGTTTAAATCTAAAATCTTTATGCTTGACTATTGTTCCTTTTCCCCCCAAACTTTGCCATTCTAGCATTTGCCGCTCACATTCGAATCCCTGGTTATTCGCTCGGAGTTGCAATCGCGTGATATCACATGATTGTTATCTCCCCACGCGTTTTCCGCCAGCCAAAAGTGGATTGGCATTATTGTGTTACTACGGAGTACGTACTACTGAATTATCGACTCGTCCGGCAGTAACCGTACCATAACAGCATAACTTACCGGCCGGAACATAAGTGGACACTCGGAAGGAGTCTCCGACCCGACTTCACCCGTGCTTTTTGCCTGATTTGCCTGATTGTGTTCCCGTCTTTCCCTGAGCAAGCTGGCCGGAGCTAAGGGAGCTACAGACAGGCTTGAACGACCCCCGATTTCTATTCTTATTCGTCTCGATTCCCACCCCGGTTCTTCTTCTTGTGATTATGCATGAGCTTCTGCTCTTCGCCTCGGTTCCCGCGCACCAGCATCATGAGCTTCTTCAACAGCTGGCCGGGTTGACGGCCATGCAACCCCGTCACCGCCTGGAAAGACGCTTGGTTTTCAAGGCCTACCGCAAGCCAGGCTTGACCAACACCCGGGTTGGGGCCAGTCAAGATCTGCAGGGTGTCGAATTGCAGCGCCTTAATAAGATGCTCAATGGAGGCATGTTCTACACCCAAGTAGTCGGTCCCGTGGCCAAAGCCGACTTTGGCGGGAACCCTTCCTCGTCGGGAGATCCAGATGTCTCCATGTCCGGATTGGAGGAGAAGCCATCGTCATCTTCGTCTTCTTACAGTTATGAGGATCAGCCCTGGAAACTCGAATTTAGAGATATCCCCGAGGCAGGCACTCGATCCGCGGTAACTGCTCGGCTGATGGCTAGTGCCACGCTGCCTAAAGGTGATATCACGGCGCCCATGAATGCCTGGGGTTATAGGTTAGTAGCTTCCCATGCCATTCGGGGTTATATCAGCTCCTCCGTATCTTGATTGGTCCTAGTCGGCTGACAAACTGGGTTCAGCTTTGTCACTGAGTACGTGGTGGAAGGAGATGTCTTTGTTCTCAATGACATCGTTATCTTCCTACACCGTGTCCTGCTTTACCCGACTGGGGCGCAGGAATCACATGGACCTCGTCGGCAGCTGCCTGCGTATCAGGAGCTCTCACCGCTGGAACGGACAGGGAGCTATGTCCTGCAAGCTGCTATCACCGTCCAGGATGGCGGGAATCAGGAGATGATGAGGACGGCTTCGCAGCATTTGTTCGGGCTTCGCGAGCAGCTCAAGTCGGCTGTCCGTCTAGAAATGGCGGACCGGCTGTCTCTGGATACGCGAGCGAAGTAATCATGTATTATGATATCTTTTTAGCAGTGCTATATACCCCGGAGTTGATGGCTCCCAGTAGATAACTCATTCGAAATTCAAAATCTGTCATTAGGAGCCGAAGTGAATATTGTTAAGTTTCTTTTGTCCTTTTTTTTTTTTTTTTTTTTTTTTTTTTTTTTTTTTTTTTTTTTTTTTTTTTTTGTCTTTCTTAAGAGAGAAAGCAAGCTTGAGCTGAAAGCATACACATAGTTGGATGACAGCGGTGCAGTTGTAGCATCCATCTTTGTATGGGTGCAATGAGCCGTCAATATAAGCATGTGACTTCGCGAAGTTTAAGGCGCGCGTCAGCGCGTCGACTTCCGCTTTTGAACCCGACACCAGTTCGAGCCATCTAGTCGCAGATTCTTTCTCATTTGCTGCAATCAAGACCACAGTACCTGACAGACATATCCAAGATTATCTCCAGACTCCAGTATCTCAGGATGGCCGGCGGTGGGGGCGTGAAACGTACAGCTTCCCCCACTCGAGCTATATCGCCGCCTCCACTCAAAAGGAAGGTTGAGTCTACCATAACTAGTAAGGCACACCTATTTTGTCTCGTTCTATTTTATACTAATGAAACTGATAAACCTAAGAAAAGGCTGTTTCCTCCTTCTTTACCCCGACTTCTCAGAAAAAGCCCGAACAGATCACCTGGCGGATTGTCAACAACAGTGCGGTCATTGGCAAGTATACTTCGGATTCGAGTCACAAGAAAAGTACAGAGAAGCCCAGAATCGCAGCATTTGACCTGGTCAGTTTAGAACGAAGCCGTTAGGTGAATTTACGGTTTATCATTACGCGAGCTCGAGACTGACTAGGTGATCGCACCTAGGATTCAACGCTTGTCTCGACAGCCTCTGGAAATACGTTCCCCAGGAATGGGTCAGACTGGAAGTGGTGGCATGATACGATACCTGGGAAGCTCAAGGAGTTGAACGACAATGGGTATGTAGTCGGTTGCCTTCTAGTTCCTTGATCGGACTGCTTCCGGACAACAGGATATTGATCTCTCTTCTTTGCAGATACTACGTGGTGGTCGTAACGAATCAAAAGAAGATCAGTCTCAAGAAAGATCTCAAGAAAGGCCAGAGCGACTCTAAAAGCCTTGTCAACTTCAAGGAGAGGGTGTCGGCCGTCATGAAGCAACTGGACATCCCACTAAGTGTATATGCAGCCACCGAAGATGACGAATATAGGAAACCCAGGACAGGTCTATGGAAAGAGATGCTGGACGACTATGACTTCGATGTGTCAGGAGTCAATCTGTCAGAGTCCATTTTTGTAGGGGACGCTGCTGGACGGCTAAACGACCATTCCATGGTCGACCGGTAAGGCTGGCCTTTCGAAAGCAACCCACGGACTTTATACGCTAACGGCGGTTCAAGCGGATTTGCTCTTAATATCAAAGTACCTTTCAAGACGCCCGAGGAGTTCTTCCTCAATGCTGACCCCGAGCCCCTCGTGGAACCGTTCGATCCGACGATTTACCTGCAAGCAGAGCCAACCGACGATGGTGAGTCCCCATGCTTGGGGTGATTGCGAATCGACCATCAGAATACCCTATTGACAACTTGTCTTGCATGATGCAGTGGCGCCACCTTTCTCTCGCCAGAGCCCCCTCGAGCTGGTGATATTTTGCGGCAGCCCTGGTGCGGGCAAATCCTCGTTCTACTGGGAATACCTGGAACCGTTGAAATACGAACGAGTCAACCAAGACCTTCTTAAGACTGTACGTCTTCTTTATTGTCTCTACCAAACTTTATACGGGTTACCTTCTTCCAACACACCCTTCTACGCCAAGCCCAAAAAGTGGCAGTGGCTTCGCTCGCGCAGCAGCTATACACCTCAACGACCTACCCACATCTATGTACTACCAAGATTGCATAATCTATCAGCTAACCAACCGCTCACCACAGCGCCCTAAATGCATCAAAGTGGCGAAGGAACACCTTGCAGCCGGTAGATCTGTGGTTGTCGGTACGTGAACGTTGGGAACGGGGCAACCTTTTCCCCAAGAGACCAACCCACCCAACCCTTGCATTGACACTTCGACGGTCTACGATGTCGATTTCTCGGGCTCGAGTCTAGCCAGGCTACACCAACCCTAGCCCATATTGCGATCCATCCCTCCCCGCTTCTCCTTCAAGTACCTACAGTGACTTTGCAAATGCACGAACGATTAGATTTCTTCGCTGATCAAAAGCACAGACAACACCAATGCCGACCCGGAAACCAGATCCCAGTGGGTAGAAGTCGCTAAGGAATTCAACGTCCCGATTCGCTGTGTCTATTTCACAGCTTCCCCCGCCCTCTGCCGGCATAATAATGCGGTCCGTGCCGCAAATCAAACCTTGGTAAGTCCGTGCGAGATGAAGATGCGCGTGCACTGCATCCCCATTGTCCCCTTCCACCCCGCACCCCCTCCTACCCAAAACCATAGACTGTCCTCATTGTTCCCTTTTCGAGTTGTTCGAAGGGAGGTGGTGGTGATAGCACCATCTTTCCCAACGGTCACACGTGTATCGTGACATGTTATCGGATCATCAAACACACCTATACCCATACATGCATACATACACCATTACAACAACTGATGTAAATCATACTCAATACTAACCTCCATCGAATCATAGAACCCCGAATCACGCACCCTTCTCCCCGGAATTGCCTTTGGAGATTTCCTCCGCCGATTCAAAGAACCTTTAATGGAAGAAGGGTTCCAGGACATAATACGCGTGGAATTCCGCTTCCGAGGAGACGAAAACGCCAAAAGATTATGGGGTCAGTATTGGGTGTAGAGACAACTCTCTGTGTAGTAGTATCTAAACAACCAACCGACCAACCAACCATCGTTCATGCCTCATGGCCCCATATGAAAGCAAACATGGGAACACAGCTCATTTCAACTTCTACCCATAAACAAGTCTAGTTACCTGCTGCTGCTGCTACAGAGTACTGCTGCTGCCTACGTAGTCAGTCATACGTAAAGACAGGGCTGATCTAGCCTGTTCTAGGCATTCTACCAACCATCTACAGTATCTAGCGGCAATGAAAAATGCATGCATGACTGAAGAAAATCAATATCAATGGATGAACGAGCGATCTGCCAGACTAGCTAGCTAGCTAGCTAGCCACCAGCTAACTAAGCCAGTACTTAGTCTAGGCGACATGTGCGGTACGAGTTACTCGATTCGGGTGGCTGTCGAAAGGGAGGAGGGGGGTGATGGGAAAAGACGGTCGACCCCGCGCATGCATCAGGCGACTGGTATGACCTGACCCTGGCTGGCTGGCTGGCTGGCTGGCCCTTTGGGGGTTTGAGTAACCATGACTATTACTACTGCATGTATCATTGAGGAGGGGGAACAAAAGTACACTGCATATGCATTGCATGTGGGCAGCAAGGGCGGGAACCATAATTATCCGTTGGAAGGCATCACCTGAGTAGTACTAAGATGTAGTAGTTATTTATATGTAGGTCTAGTTAAGTAGTATCTAGTAGTATCGGTATATATACACACAGTTGAGTGTACAGAAACGCAAACAGAGAACAGGCAAATATCTATAGTAGGTATGCTTTTGGGCTTTTTGGTGCAAGGAGACAGCAAAACAGTTCTAGTATGTATCAGGGAACAGCGGGCCGTAGAATTTCAAGTAGGATAAATGAATGAAGAACCATGCCTTGGGGTATAAGACAGAACAGAACACCAGAAGCGCCCTTGCAATGGTTTCGCTTCCCTTTTCGCTTGGTAACCCAGCCACTTTTGCTTTCAACCGTAATTCTTCTTCTGCTTTATGCTCCCCTCATTCCCCTGTCTTTGCATCCATACAGAACACACGCATACACACCTCCCCTCTTCAATCATTCGACGGTGCAACCCAACGGTTGATTTTTGTGCCAAGGACAATGACGCAAGGAATGCATCGCCGGCAGAGTGAACACACACAAAGGAGATGCTGGGCAGTGTACAGCATTATCAATACATGTTGGCGCGAACAAGTATTTCGACAACAGGGGAAGAGGGGTACATATGCAGAGAGATCAAACATTAAGGAACGGACTGCACTCTGCGAGTCAGTAGTCGCAGGTGCTCAGGTCATCAGTCATCATTATGCAATCACAGATCATGAACAGAAACAGGAAAAGAAAAAGATAAAACATATCCGTCGAAACATGTATACTATAGGAGAGGCATAAGTCATCATTCACTGAATCAATCGTTCGAGAGGCGTTAATAAAAGTCGTAAGATGGTATACATCGTAAGCCTCCCGCAGTCTGTCTATGGTCATTAAATGTTTCCATGTTCGTGTCAAGGCGGTCGAATCAGGACCGTATAACGAGATCCTGGAAGAACTTGACAAAGTTGCGTTTCAACGAACGGGTGCGACATAGTCCGGATCCATTTGCTGCTGGGGCGATTTTCATAGGACCCACGATCTCGCCATCGCCCAGCTCGGGGAACTTGTCGTCGTGAAGGCGTGGGATCTTGACCGGGTCACAAGGGTCACAGTGGAACTTCATCAAACTCAGACGGGGTCCTTCTGTCACTTCTAGCTCAGACAGCATCGCCTCATGATGGCGGCGCCATTCGCGGTTGATGGATTCCCATTTCTCCTCTGTGAGCTTGTAGATCGTGGAAGTAACCCCATAATGTTCACCAGTCCGGACGAGATGCCGCATGAAGTTGCACTGAGCCAAGTCCCAATCTGCGCGCAGCTGTCCAAACGCTCCCAGGTCACAGGTCTCGGGTACATAAGGCTCCGGCTGGATGGTAAAGTTGGCATGACCGAGTCTGTTCGCCCATTCGTCATTTGGGTCGGAAAGCGTGAATGGAGGCGCGTCTCCCGAGACCGTCCGTACCGTACTGGCTCGTGGACGATTGAATGATGAGACAGATGGCTTGGACGAGAGGGGTGGCGAGGGCAAGTCTGCCAACCGCAAATCTGCGACAGCGCTGCAGACAACTGGGCCATCATCTACCATGTTGTCGGCTACTGAAGGGGATTGTAACGGAGAATGGACGCGGGACGCGGTCTGGTAGGATGGTTCATCGCCCATGAACGGTGGCAGTAGGGGAGTCGTTGCTTGAGGGGCCGAATCCTCTTCCTGGCTGTACCGGTTGGCTTTGCTGATGTCAATGGGTTGCGTGCCGGCCTCGCTAATGGCCTCCTCAAAGATAGTCCTGGCAGGTGAGGGAGGAACCTGCATTGAGTTGACGCGAGTGAAAGAACCTGTAGTAGGACTGGCTATGGCGGATGATGCTGAATTAGTGCGGGAACGCAGCTGTGTTGCGAATACATCTGCACCGTCCAGGCCATCGGAGGCACGTTTGGGCTTCCAGCGAGTGGAGATGGTGGAGATTCGGGAGCCGATGCGTGAAAGACCCCGGGCGGAGATACTGTCGGAACGTCGATTCCTAGGCGAATGTGTAAGATCCATGCCGGCATCCGTTAGATCGTAGCTGTCAGAAGCATCGAAAGATGCGTAGTATGAATCTTCGGCGACCGACAGGCCTTGGTCAAAGTGTTCTGTAGAGCAGAAGTCGATTAGCGAACGAGTAGACGAACATCGGAGAATAAAGCAGGAGAAAAAGGAAAGGCACGGGGGCTGGGAGCAAGGGCAAGTAACATACGGAAATAATCCTCCTCGAGGTCCCTGGGCTGAGACCCACAGGGTTCTTCCTTCACTCCTGTCAAGGGATTCCGCGACGAGCTCTCCATCGAGTTCCCGTGTCCTGGGGATGAAACCAGGGACGAAACCGAGCTGGAAAACCGCGTGTGGCCCTTGGCAGAAAAGAGAGACACAGCGGGTGAAACAGGCGTGGAGGAGTTGGTGGTCCAGGGCGACGGAGGCTGGCGAGATGACGGGGACGACTCAGCCATGGTTTCAAAACTATCGCGCCGTCTGGTATCTAGAAACTGAGCGGGTTTTAACATGATGGACGAGTCAAGACTACTGGCGTGGTAGTCAGGCTGGCGGTGACTGAAGATCGCGCAGATGGTGAGGCTTCCACTTCACGTGCCGGAACAGGGCGAAACGGACGTGAGGAGGAACAACGCGAAACGCAGGGGAGGACAGAACGGAGTCGATTTGAAGGCGGACGGAACATCATCCGGTGTTCGATTGATTGCCCAGACCGGCGGGGAGATGTATTTTCTTTTGTTTGTTTGAACTACCAAGAAAAGGCGGTTCAAAGAAGCGAGAAAGAGAGAGTGTGGATGGGGAAAAAAAAGAAAAGGACGATCGATCGGACCAAAGAGACACCACGAGCCCGGGAAGAGCGTCCTTATTGTTCACGAGGAACGAGGTTGGTCTGTGACGTGGTGGCGTGGCGGTGGAATCGCGAGATTGCCTTGCAGTAACAGAAGCAGCGACAGGCTCTGATGGATAGAGGAGAGAAAGAGAAAGCGCAACTGACAGGCTTCCTGACTGACGCTGACTGCTTGAGATTGATTGATTGACTGACAGGCTTGGCCCGGATTGAAGAAGTACGGCCTGAAGGAAGGAGACGCTGAGAATCCGTTCGCGCTGGTAGGGCAGACAAAGACGTGGAGCCTGTCGGAGCACCCAGTCAACGAACAACTGGCCGGGATTGTTCGTGAAGCCCAAAGGACGCGGCTGACAGCACAGTGGGCCGCAGTCAATCGGAGGCTGATGATTGCGGTGAGGTTACAGGATCCGACTCAAGGGGGGGGGAAGGTTGGAGGTTGGAGGGGGAAAGGGAGGATGTTGAAGGAATGCTTGGGGAGGGGAGAAGAAAGGGCGATTAGGAATCTAGGAATCGGAAAGGATGAGAAGATATGATGTGTACTAGAGAGCAAGAGAAGAGAAGAGAGTCGAGTAACTGATGAGGGGGCGAGGAGAGGGGAAAGATGAGGAGAAAAGACGAAAAGAGGAGGCGATGAGAGAGAGAGAATGAAAGAGATCTGGGAGCACAGACAAAGCACGTATAGGCAAATAGCAACAATGACAACAATGTCTACAACCCAGCGCAAGAGGAGGGAGAGAGAATGCGTGTGTGTGTGTCAGGAATGTTGCTTCATTATTGATAGCTAATATTCTACACGGCGCGATGCGATGAAAATCTTCTTGTGACACTTGACAAATGAGGCCCGGTTTTTTTCTTTTTTGACAGCATCCAGTCGACCTTTTTTCCTTTAGAACGTTGCCCCAGTCGATCCATTGGATCGCAGTCTTAGCCCATCGTCACTAATTCTCCTTCTATCGGAGCTATCTAGCCTGCTGACTGGGCCCAATTTTTCCCTGTCGACCCAGCCATCTGACAGGCCAGTTTTAGGGCTGTCGATGGGCAAAAAATAGAAAAAAGAAAGGAAACAGGGAAAAGATTTTGGAGAGAGAAAACCAGAACCAACAGGCTAAAACCACAGAACCACAGAACCACAGTCAGGGTGATCGTCGGGTTTACACTAACTCAGACAGGCTTCTGAGGGCTCCGTTTCGCTGCGTGGCTGGGGAACCATGGATCGGGCTTCAGTGGCCATGGCTCGCAATTGTTCTTTGGGCTTCTGTGGCCATCGTGGGTCGGAGAAGACACGCGGTCGAATGGCTACTCCGGAAAGTGATAAGTTGTAGCAGTAGTAGTAGTTAGTGTTCGTATGTGCTAATCCGTGAGCTGCTCGGCAACAGAGTCGACTGGGATGGTTCGAATAGAAACACGCGCCGGATGATGATATCCAAGTCGCAGTTGTGTGTGGTGGATGTCTGAATCCTCCCTCAGACAGGTTTCAACGGCTGCACATCGGCCGTCTCCAACACAGCAAGCGAGGATGGAGACGAACAGAGAAGCCGGACGAACAAGGGAACTCGGAGAGGGGACTAGTGGGGACTGGAGAGGAAGTTGTCTAGACTCTGACCGACTCGACTGGTCCAACACAGATGCATCCCCCCATCGGATAGACAGAGCTCCATTCCTCTACTGCTTTGTGAACGCGCTGTGCGACCCCTCAATCCCCGTCGTCATACCCCTTCAGGGACCAAGGTAGAGTCCCCGAAAGTACGACGACCTATCAACCGTCACTTCTCACACTACAGATTTGACATCGGACCAGTCCCGACGGAACAGCAGGTTGGAATAAATGGGAGGGAAGACAGCAGGGGGTGTGGGAATGAATAGTTTGCAGTGGCCGGAGCTGTTGTGCTTCAATGCGTGAGGGAACGCAAGAGATTGAGAATTTCGCCGTGGCACTGCTTGGGTACTGGACCGCGCCCCCAGTTCTGATGATGACAATATTGGCTACCTTCCTGTTATGATGACTATTGTTTCTTTATCAACTAGTAAACTAAATACTATACAGTAGAAAGTGAGAGCCAGGTCAGCAGTGGGGATGAGGAGAACAGAAATGGGATCCCTCAACTTGCCTTCTGATTGTTGATATTCATTTGTGTGAGCATTCAAAGATCTGGTGCCGACGTCAGATCCACATGGCTTCAGCGCCAACCGACCGGAACCTTGCCTCCCTCAACTCTGATGGTTTTTTTTCCTTGGTTCAGTCCAGCTCGACCGCATCAAGAATGCTATTCGAGCGGGTGGAAGTCCGGCGCTGTTCCGCGGAAAACTCCAACGGTAAGGGATCTTGGCGCTACGCTTCCTGGGAATCTCTGTTGATGGCCGGCAATGACGGTCGGTATGTTTTGTAGTTGCCGCCTGTTCTAATCCTCAGTATCTCATGTCCGCGATACACGATGGCGATCGGACAAAAACATGCTGTATAATTGTATTCCGTACACTGTAGAAGAAGAGGATTCCAGGGACGTCATTCCGCCACGCTGGGGACGATTCTCGATGAGATTTCGGTATTCTTGACGAGTCGGCCGACTGCTGAACTTAATTGAGCGGATCGTTGCTATTTCCAGTTGATTCTACATCATGATGTTGGTGGACCACCAGTCCAAACAGGACCACTCAATGCTCTTCTGTGCATCGACAGAGTACCAAGTGAAAGTACGGAGTACTACTGTGTATATGCGTCGTAGCGCATACTCTGCATCAAGCTGGTGATCTATACAACGATCCATCTTACTTGTAGATTATCTAGAAAGTAAATGGCGTGACCATGCACTAATTCCCAATTAGGCAGGTCCAGACCGACTGACTCACCTCCTGCCTGAATGCTGCCTGTATCCTCAGGCAGCACTTGCTTATCTCCAATTCGCGATTCCATTGAATCCTCATCCCAGCATCACAAACAATATTTCACCTAATTCTCGATCCCCCTCAACAGTCTCCCTCGCATCAGCCAATTGACCTCCATCATCCATCCAGGGAATGCCTCTGCCCTTTCCCACTCGCCCTTAGCCACTTAGAACCATGAAATCCCCCATCTCTCTTCTCGCGGCCGTCGGCGTAGCCTCGGCTGCCTCCCCGCAAACCCTCTTGTCCCTCGCCTCCACCGCGTCCGACATCATTGACGCCTCTCCTTTCCTCTCATTCCACCGCGACATCGTCCAGATCCCCTCCATCTCCGGTAACGAGACGGCCGTAGGCACCTTTGTGGCGGAATTTCTCGAATCGCACAACTTCACCGTGATCAAGCAGCCCGTCCCGTCATCCTCCAACGGCGACCCCAACCGCTTCAACATCTTCGCCTATCCATCCACCTCGCCTTCCCAAGACCGCCCTGACATCCTCTTGACCAGCCACATTGATACCGTACCCCCCTTCATCCCCTATGGGTTCCATGATGACGCAAACAACAACTCCAACATTCTCATCTCCGGCCGCGGCACCGTAGACGCCAAAGCCAGCGTCGCCGCCCAGATCTTCGCCGTCCTCGACACCCTCGAGTCCAACCCAACCGCCAGCCTAGGCTTCCTGTTCGTCGTCGATGAAGAAGTCGGTGGCCTCGGCATGCGCACCTTCTCCGACAACTCCACTCTCAACCCCTCCCCGTCTCCCTACCACACCGTCATCTTTGGCGAACCCACCGAGCAGGCCCTCGTCGCCGGCCACAAAGGCATGCTGGAGTTCCCCATCATCGCAACCGGCCAAGCCGCTCACTCGGGATACCCCTGGCTCGGTAGTAGCGCCATCTCCGCCCTCCTGCCCGCCTTATCGCGGGTCGATCGTCTAGGCAAGATCCCAGAAGCGGAGGGCGGGCTCCCCGCCAGCGAGAAATACGGTGAAACGACCGTGAACATCGGGCGCGTGGACGCTGGCGTCGCGGCCAACGTGGTGCCCTCGTCCGCGATCGCTGAAGTGGCGATCCGTTTGGCAGCGGGGACGCCCGACGAGGCGAGGGAGATTGTTGCACGTGCGGTGAGAAATGCCACCGGTGGTGACGAGCATGTGTATTGTGACTTTGCTGCGTATGCTGGTGGGTATGCGCCTCAGGATCTGGATACAGACGTCCCCGGATTTGAGGTCACCACGGTGAATTATGGTACGGATGTGCCGAACCTGAAGGTCTCCGAGGGGGTCAAGCGCTACCTGTATGGCCCCGGTAGTATTCATGTCGCGCATGGTGATAATGAGGCTATCACTGTCGGACAGTTGGAGGAGGCAGTCCGTGGGTACAAGCAGCTCATTGAGGCTGCCGTGCAGCGGGCTCGCAGGACTTAAAACTGGCCAGCTAGCCATTAGCCAGCTGGCTACTAGCCACGACGTGTATATATAACGAGGAAACGATAATGATTGTTTCTCTTCGGCTGACTACTAGTAGTACGTATTCTGTATATAGAATATATACACCCGCGGGGAAGTTAATGTATGTACCAAGAGAATCTATCGTACAGACAGACATCCAAGCCCGAAGCCAAGCGAGCAACAGAACCTAGTTGTTGTAACACTAGTAGCAATGCCAGATGTAGAACAAAGTAGATAATAAACCCAAGTCCCTGCCTTGGATGTAACCAGCCAGAATGCAGGAGCAATATATAGCAGTACATATAAGCAAGCATCAAACAAAACAAATCAAGAGATGATCAATCAATTCGAGATATCTTTCTTTTTTGTTAGAGGGATCTAAGGAGACGTAGTCCAAGAGAGAAATATATAGAAGCATAAGAAAAAAATAGATAGTCAAAGAAATTATACCGACTCCTCCACCTCACTGGATGTTGGTATCGTCCGACTCTTCCTCATCCACCCGGTCTTCAACTCGCCCGTTGGCTTGAACCGCGGGAGAGGATGCGCCTCAGTATTGAATACATGGTCTTCGAGAGAGATAAAGTCGCGGTCCGAGAATAGCAAGTAGAAGTATTTAAGCGTCTCGGCCATCCAGAAACTCTCCATGTTGTCGCGCTTCACTGGAGGGTTGTCATCAGCGTTTGAGAGCGAGGTGAAGCCCGTGATTTTCTGAGGTTTTGGCTTCTGAGTTCCGCCGTCTTCTTCCTCCGATGATGATGTTGAGCTGGACGCGTCTTCTTTGCTGAGTTCATCGACAGGTATGTCCTCGACCACGGCAGTATGCTTGACAAAAGACTTGAACATCTCCCAGCCCCAGTGTCGGTAGATGTCGTCTCCGGTGATGCGATACATGTAGAAGAGGGATTCGACGGTCTCTGGGCGTTGGAGGTTGTGGCGGTCTTGTTTGTGGATGTTGAGGTCGTCACGCCATTTGGTGGAGTAGTCGCTGACGGGGTAGATGGATTTGGAGAGGAGGGGGAGTTCGCCAGAGGCTTTTTGCTGGCCTGAGCTGGGTTTGGCAATGGTCGAGTCTGGGTACATGTCTGTTTCCATGACGCGAGGGTCGTCGACATTGAAGTAGGTGATCTCTGGTGCGAGGCCGGTCTTCGTGATTAGATACGTTGCCCAGCAGGTCTTGGTTAGTTCTCGGGCTAGAAGAATCTCTTCCTCCTGGCGTTGACCCCAATCGGGTGACTGTCTTGCCTCGGACAGAGGACGTCCGCCAGTTGCTGCGAGAGCGATGGTGCCGGGGTAGAAGCAGACTAGGTGGTCCATCTTGGGGGAAAGGACTCCATGCAGCCCGGCAGGGCGTTCGCCCAGCACAGTCAACCTGGCGTTCTGTGTATAGGTGATCAGGTGCTTGCGCACGCCGACGAGGGACTCATCCCACATGTCCTTGTAGATCGGTTCAGTCTCTTGCGTTTGAAGGTACTGCTTGATGAGGTATTCTAGGAAACATCGGTCAGCGCATTGAAGATTCACGCACAAAGCCATCATGTATACCATAGTATGAATCGCCTCTACTGCCGAGACGGATGTTATCGCCTTTGAATTCGCCGGTTTCTGGATATACGTAGATCGGAAGCAATCCGTCTTCCATCTTCTGGTCGTCCACGACCTCCATAACCTTCTCCACAGCCTGCCAGTACTCGGCCTCGCCCGTCAGTTTGGCCAAGTACTTGAACTCCAGCTGGAGAGTAGTGGCTTCGGCAGTAGATGAGGCACCATTATCCGCGTACGAGGGAAGGCCCTCCGATTTGTTCAAATTGATGCTTGCATACGGGATTCCAGTGCCGGATTCAAAAGCACCCAATAGACGGTCTGCCAGATCGGTGGCCTTCTCGATATACAAGTCTTCTCCCGGCGCGCCTGTATCGTCATCCGTAAGCGGAGCTAGCTCGGGATAGTTCGTGGAGAGATAGTGTGCGGAAAGTAAGCCTCCCAGCATGCGAATGGTAGTCTCGAAGGTATTCACATCGTGGTCCTGGTTGTATTGCAACGAGTTGTGGATCCAGCTGCGGGCATGTTGCACTCGCGACGTCAGGTTCATAATCATCAAAGTGTCCAGCGCATCAACAATTATCCACCCCATTCCTCCTTCAATCATGTGCCGACCATTTTTGGCAATTGGGTGGTATTCATCGTAACCTAATCACCAGCAGACAAAGCCATTGTCAGTCACCACATCCAAGAATCAAGAGGTTAATTCCAGCCAGAAACTTACCCCACGCATTAGCCGCATAACCATCCCAACTGACAATGAAGACGTCGCGCACTTTCTCCCTCCTTGCTTCCCAGTCAATCTTCTCTGTCACTGCGCTGCCATCGTATGGTGGTTCCGACTCCTCAAAACTTTGCACCCACTTCCAGAGCTCGGCGCCCTTCTCCGCGTCCGGTGTCTTCCATTCCGGCTTACCAGAGCCAGAGTAGTACCACAGAGCGAGCAGGACGAACAGACATAGCCCACTATATATGATCTTCCGCCGCCTGGCTCTCGGACCGGTGCGTCGTGGTGCGAAGTAAGGTTTGTCCTTGTACATGGGGAGAGTGCGGTCGCCGGCGAGGGGATTGTTCAGGGAGTTGGAGATACCAGTCGGTGGCGAAAACCCATAGCCAGGCAGCCCGTTGGTCCCAGGGCTTCGACTAGCACGCCAGTAGTTATTCTGGAACGGTTGCTGAGACGAAAATGGAGAACTGTTCCGAGGGGCCTGGAAAGACATGACCACCACCGCCAAGCTTCTACTACTATATCTGTCCTCTACCGAGGGAGGACCACACCTCCGACGCGCTCCAAGTCCGAGAGAATAGGTAGCTTGTCGGATTTATTCGCATAGGTACAATGTGTCTTGCCTCGGATTGAAGCTGGTGCTCAGGCAAGGACGTCGCTCTGCGCCTCGAAGTGGTTACAGGATACTCCGTTCGTTCGTATAGGTAGGTAGTCTGGGGTAAGCCCCAAAAGTAGTAGTCGGTATTGCGGCAGGACTATAACGGGAGGAACGGTTATATCTAGTAAGGAAAAAGGAGGGGCCATTCAACGGTTAGCCAAAGAAACACTGTGAATTACTGCAGTGGTAGTGAGATCTCAGAGTAGATGGCAATATTACCGATAAAGTTAGCAGCCCCCAATCGAACCAAACATCCAACGTCTGCGATTTGGATGACTCGGTCGCAAGTTAGGTCTGTTGATCTCCGCGGACGTCTCCCGATGCACACTAATGGGCCATCGATGGTTCCCGGACAGAAAGATACTGAACAGGTGTCAACTACTCTGAGGAGATGTTTCGGCGCCTAGGGAACTGATTCGAGCATTACATAAAAGTGAGGGCAGCCATTCCGATGGACGCGTGTAAAACCCATGTGGCGCCTAAGCTCAACTTGTCCTCAGCGCATGGATGCCGATCCTTGGTCGCGGCCTTGGCGGTAAACGAACGGCATTCACTGTTCCTGGAGAAGCAGCAGCAGCCATCATTATCATCAATACTAGTACTTAGGCTCGATCGTCAGTTTCAACGCATGGCAGAACATTATGTTTACCCGGTCAGGGTCCAATGCTCGGGTCCATGCACCTTCTTTGCCTAGTCTGTGGGGTAATTCCCCCATGTGATGATCTGGGCTACCACTTAATCCTACTAACCGGAGTACAAAGCTGCAAACTGCACGGCATTATCAATGCATGGATTGTGTACATTATATGAGCATAAGTAGATTTGGGGTGGGCTTCCCATAAGTTGGAAATAATAGCTTTCTACATCATGGCTAATTCTCAGGTATTCAATCAAGCGGGCACTACAACTTCTGGTATTCCAGCTTGCCCTCCAACTTCTTCGCCTCAGCCACCTTGCGGACCGCTCTGTTGAAGTCATCCTGGTTGATCGCGTCCCGGTAATCCTTGATAGCAAATAGACCACTGTCTCCGAGTTAGTCCTAGTCATGTAATAAAAATGGCAGAGCAACAACGGGAAATAGACATACGCTTCCGTAACGACGTTGCGAAGATCAGCACCGTTGAGTCCGTCACTCATCTTCACCACACTCTCGAAGTCAATCTCGCCATCCAGTTGAACGGTGCTGGAGTGGATCTTCAAGATCTCCAAGCGACCGACTTCGTTGGGCAGGGGAATCTCGATCTTGCGGTCGAGACGACCTGCTCGCAGCAGAGCCGGGTCAAGCGTATCAGGCCGATTCGTGGCCATGATGATCTTCGTCTTTCCAAGGTAATCAAAACCATCCAGCTGGTTGAGAAGCTCCATCAATGTACGCTGGATTTCCCGATCAGCCGAAGTACCCTCTGAGAAACGTCTTCCACCGATAGCGTCAATTTCGTCCATGAAGATGATGCAAGGCTCGTGTTCTTTGGCGTATCCGAACATCTCTCTTATTAACCGTGCAGATTCACCGATGTATTTGTCAACAATAGCGGACGAGACAACTAGGATGAAGTTAGCGATCTAGGCCTACCTAAGCCCGCGCCCGGAGTTGATTATGTATACCTTTCAGGAAGTTGGTCTCCATTGAGCTTGCCACTGCTCGTGCCAACAACGTCTTTCCGGTACCCGGAGGACCGTAGAGGAGCACACCCTTGGGCGGCTTGATTCCTACTCTTTGGAAAAGCTCGGGGTTCTTGAGCGGCAACTCGATAACTTCTCGGAGCTCGCGGATCTGTTCGTTCAGACCACCAATGCCTGCAAAGTTGATCTGGCCTGGGTCCTCCAGTGACATGTTGTATACCAACGGATCAACCTCTCTCGGGAGCATTCTCATTATAGTAAGTGTGGTCATATCGAGGGCGACACGGGTGCCCTGCTTTAGCTTTGCCTTATCGACCTTCGAGCGGCAACCGACGACATAACGCGGTCCGGATGATGCCTTGACAATAACTGGATCAGGTCAGCCACATACCGGCAAAGAGAACGACAGACGATGGACAAGGATCTGCCCGGAGTCGAGGTTATATTGGTGAGAAATAGGGATGAACATACATCTCTCCTCATCCAGCTGCTTCAACACTTCTCCGATGATCTGGCCGACGCTTTGCAGCGCCTTGATGTTCTCTTCAGAGATATCGAACTCTCGTTGCAAATCCTTGATCCCCATGCGAAGAGACTTGAGCTTGGCTTCCCATTCTCGGAGCTCGAGCAGGCTCCTCTTGTAATCCTCGAGCGCCTGCTCTCTCTCCGGATCGCTGGCGCCGTTCATGATGTAAGGCAATCAGGGAGACCAAAAAGCAAAGCGAAGTCGAAACGAGATCCCCGGGGTCTCAGAAAAACAGGTTAATGACCCGGGAGGGTGAATATGCAGATGGATTGATAAGGGATAGGCCGGTTGACGGTACTTGGGATCTTACTGCATCCAGCTCGGCGAGCTGTCGAGGAGCTCACAGCAGCCACCAGCTCATTGTGATCACATGACGCTGGCTCATTGACAATGACATAATCATTTGTGTATGCCTGAATGGTTGGGCTACAAGGCGACAAGGCCACATATTTATCACTAGCCGCAGTATCTATTATCCGGCTTGTTGTTTTTCAGGCACCCAGGTGTCTGTTTCGTGACCGCGGGCATTTTCGTCATTACGCAATGGAAGTTTCCAGACAAGAAAGCGCGCTGATGGGTTTCCCACCCATTGAGGGGCATCTGGAGGATGCTCTCTCAACGTGTGAGATAGATCGTAATTGATATGATTGGTAGTACATTGACCCATTCAATTGGTCCTGGACGCTTTACAGAAAGTTGGGGCTACTGATGCCGTTGGAGGGGTAGGTGCGGATTGAGTTGTGTGGAAAGGAGGGGTTAACTGCGCCTACTTACAGGTGGCAGGATGCATCTGCGATCTGTATCAGAAGCATCATTACTGTCATACCAGCTTTAGCCGTGGCCCAGGCCGGGAAGAAGACATGGAAAAAGGAGCCATGGAGTATCGTCAACCCCGTCCTGAGTAGCAACACCCGCCTTACCCCGAGGGAATGCGGAAGATCTCGCTGGGGAGGGTAGCAGTCGAAGCAGCTTCAGCCAGCGAGAGCAGCGACAGATGCTGGCTGCCCCACCATTCCCTTGGAAAGATTCGGAGGACGAGACCGTGAGCTTTCCCGGGGCACGCCTTTGGGGGAGTTTTGGCTCGAGCTTACAAGAAGTAGCCTGTAGCAAGTCTCTGGTCGTGTTTATTATTTATCTACTACTTCCCCCTCCTCCCTCCTCCTCTTGTGTTAAGAGTACTCTCAAAAAAAGCCTTTCTTAGATAGTACAACCACCATCTTCAAAGTCCTGTAAGTATGACTTGTCCCATATACTCATTTTATCACCCCTCCCATCTTTCTCTGTCCATTTCATCCTCCTCTTCTTCTTCTTAGCTGCGAGTCATGACCCCGCCATCATCCCACCATGTTGTGCTTGACCCCTCCATCCATCCATCCATCCATCCTCCTGTCTATATGCCATCACTCCATCCTGTCTGTCTATCAATGATCTGGCATCTCCGGATTTAGCACCAAGTCCCATTGATTAGTTGATCATTTGGGAAACTTGGCTGTGCCGAGCCTGGTCTATTTGATGGATCGGACCTCTCCACCTCTAATTCCCCCCCCCGTCCTTCCCTTCTCCGTCACTCATCCGCCATCCGCTCATTCTTTTTGGGTCCTCGGTGAACACTCACCACCTTCCCCCCCCCCCGCTGCTGCTAGTGCACACCGAAACAGCAAGTCCGGAGCGCTTACATTTTTGCCTCCTCCGTTTTTTCCTATATCTGGGCCTTGTTCTCCCTTTGCCATCTTTGTTTTCTCCCAGTTTCACTGATCCATAACTCATCCCCCTCCAGTCCATCAACATGCCTATCTCCAAGATCCACGCCCGCTCCGTCTACGACTCCCGCGGTAACCCCACCGTCGAGGTTGACGTTGTCACCGAGACTGGCCTTCACCGTGCCATTGTCCCCTCTGGTGCTTCCACTGGTCAGTAGTCAACAGGCAATCAAGGACCTTGTTGTCCTCTAGCTCTACATTTGACATGCTGACAGTCAATTCCAGGCCAGCACGAGGCCCACGAGCTCCGCGATGGTGACAAGACTATGTGGGGTGGCAAGGGTAAGTTTAGAGCATCCTTCTCTCTGTATACTTGTTGTAATTTGTTCAACCCAGCTGACAACAACTGCTTGATCCAGGTGTCCTGAAGGCCGTCCAGAACGTCAACGAGACCATTGCCCCCGCCGTCATCAAGGAGAACCTCGATGTTAAGGACCAGTCCAAGGTTGATGAGTTCCTCAACAAGCTCGATGGCACTGCCAACAAGTCTAACCTCGGTGCCAACGCCATCCTTGGTGTCAGTCTGGCCATCGCCAAGGCCGGTGCTGCTGAGAAGGGCATCCCTCTCTACGCTCACATCTCCGACCTTGCTGGCACCAAGAAGCCCTACGTCCTCCCCGTTCCCTTCCAGAACGTCCTGAACGGCGGTTCCCACGCTGGTGGCCGCCTGGCTTTCCAGGAGTTCATGATCGTCCCCAAGTAAGTTACCGCCATCATGCCACACCTCAACAGGTAGTTCCTTTTTAACTAACAATCTTGAAGCACTGCCTCTTCCTTCTCTGAGGGTCTCCGCCAGGGTGCTGAGGTCTACCAGAAGCTCAAGGCTCTTGCCAAGAAGAAGTACGGCCAGTCCGCTGGCAACGTTGGTGACGAGGGTGGTGTCGCTCCCGACATTCAGACTGCCGAGGAGGCTCTTGACCTGATCACCGAGTCCATCGAGCAGGCCGGTTACACTGGCAAGATCAGCATTGCCATGGACGTCGCCTCCAGCGAGTTCTACAAGGCCGACGTCAAGAAGTACGACCTTGACTTCAAGAACCCCGAGAGCGACTCCTCCAAGTGGCTCACCTACGAGCAGCTGGCCGACCTCTACAAGTCCCTTGCCAGCAAGTACCCCATTGTCAGCATTGAGGACCCCTTCGCTGAGGACGACTGGGAGGCCTGGAGCTACTTCTACAAGACCTCTGACTTCCAGATTGTTGGGTACGTACTGCTCGATGCAACTTCTCGATTAGGGTTGTTTGTGGCTAACTGATTATTTTATAGTGATGACTTGACTGTCACCAACCCCCTGCGTATCAAGAAGGCCATCGAGCTCAAGTCCTGCAACGCTCTCCTGCTCAAGGTCAACCAGATCGGTACCCTGACCGAGTCCATCCAGGCTGCCAAGGACTCCTACGCTGACAACTGGGGTGTCATGGTGTCCCACCGCTCCGGTGAGACCGAGGATGTCACCATTGCCGACATTGCTGTCGGTCTCCGCTCTGGCCAGATCAAGACCGGTGCTCCTGCCCGTTCCGAGCGTCTGGCTAAGCTGAACCAGATCCTCCGTATCGAGGAGGAGCTCGGTGACAACGCCGTCTACGCCGGCGAGAAGTTCCGCACCGCCGTTAACTTGTAAATGCAGCCATTTCCCGTATAATGTCACCAGTGCAAGGCCCTAGCGGTCCTCACTAGCCTTTCCGAGCAGCTGCAGAACAGCATCGTTTGGATGAAACTAGGCGGCGAAAACATCAGAGATGATTAAGATTTATGATGACGAATTCAAAGGCCAAATAATTGAATTTAGTGGCACATAATGAAAAAATTTATTATTTTTCACCCTTCAATATAGAAATTCCCTATTGTTTTCGCATGTTCAATGTAGAGACAAGTAAGTAGTAGTAAGATTGGGCATCACGGGCAATCCCGCGTGCACGTGACCACGCCGCATGCCCCACGGGATCAGCCACTCGGTCGTTCAAACAAATTCCCTCCTTCAGCAGTACCTGTCAACGACACCAGTTCCTCTGCGTGCGACTTACGCTTATCACCGGCTTTACTGCCAGCCACGCAACTCACTCTCCAGCTTGTCATTTTCGCCCCAAACTTGACGACTTTTGCCCGCCATGGCTCCTTCAAAGTGGGGTATGTCCTCTTTTGGAGATTTTTGTGGCCCTCGCCCGCGATAGGGACATACATTGCGGGACAACATGGCGAATCATTCACGATACTGACGGCTTCTTTCAGATGACGAAGAGGAGAGTGTCTCTCCCCCTCCTGTGGTTGCCCGCCGCAAGTTCGACGACGAGGAAGAGGAAGATGTGAGTTTTTGCCGCCCCTCCCCCCTCCTTTTCCATTTTTGCCTCACGATTTGCCCCGCGCTGTTTCTCTTGGCCTCAGTCGCTGAAACCCCCCCCCCCATCATTTTTTTTTCCCGTCCACGATCTGACCGAATGAACTAGGTCCTCGACTCCTGGGACGCCGCCGAAGATTCCGAAGTAGAGCGTGAGAAGGCCGCCAAGGCAGCGGAGGCCAAGGCTAAGGCCGAAGCCGAAGCCGCCGTCAACAAGAAGAGCAAGGCACAGCGGATACAGGAAAAGAAGGCCCAGCGGAAGGCAGATGCCGATGCTGAGGATTCGGACGACAGCGACGAGGACGAGGCCGAGCGGAGAGCCCGTCTCCGCAAGACGGAGAAGGACGCTGACCTTAAGCACGCCGAGGACCTGTTCGGCGACATCGACCTGAACCGTATGCGCAACCGCAGCGCCCCCAAGGCCGTTGTCATCAGTGACGGGGCCGACCCGACCCAGGCCGTCGATCTGTCGGCTATGCCTCTCTTCAAGCCCGCCACCAAGGACCAGTTCACCCGCGTTACGACCACCCTTATCCCTCTGTTGACGACCCAGTCGAAGAAGCCCCAGTATGCTCTGTGGGCGCAGGACTTCATCAAGCAGCTCGTCAAGGACCTGCCCAGCGGTGATGTCAAGAAGATCGCTTCCTCGCTGACTACTCTCAGCAATGAGAAGATGAAGGAGGAGCGTGCTGCCGATAAGGGTAACAAGAAGACCAAGGCGGCCAAGACCAAGGTCTCTCTGGTCACCTCTAGAGAGAACAAGATTGAAACCAACTCTTATGATGATGATGGGTTGGATGACGATGACTTCATGTGATTTTGTTATTTAGAATATTTTATATTTCCTTTTCTTCTTCTCACCACCGATCCCCTTAACTCTCTTGCTTCATTTGCTTCAGATTTCTCGGTTTCTTCTTTTTTCTTCTCCCCAGTTATCCACTATATCTTTGCTAGACCGGCCTGCGCCCTGACATGCATCATAAAATCATGTCCGTTGGTCATCATCTGTTTTGTATATCCGTCATATAAAGTATTCTTTTATTTTTCCCCCCTCGTTCGTCTTTCGCTGTCCCGCTTCTTACCTCCGGTTTATAGATCATGGTTCATCTCTTCCGTACATTTCCGTTGGTACTAGCATATATGTCTTCAGCTAGTATAGAAGCTGCCGCAGTTGTTCGCTTACTACCTGCCTAAGTCCGTAACTCTTATAAAGTGTTTAACCTAAACGTAGTGTTAACGAGTACCGGGAGGTGGTGAGGTAGAGAATGTTCTGCACGGGCAGTGGGTATTTGGTAGTGTGTGTGTAAGGCGGGTTATTTATCATGCTGACGCTAAAGACTTCAATGGGAGCAGTATGGGATCGCGGCTCATAGAAGTACACAAAATCTAAGAGTCGTTTGATAATTAATTGATTCCCGCTCGGGTCTTCTTGGGATTGAGAGAACTGGTTACTTTGATTTGAGATATTGTAAAGCTTAAGGCTCTTAACACGTACGAGCGAAACAGCAGGGGGGAAATCGGGAAAAGGGGCGTGGGGTGAATAAAAAAGTTGAAATAAGACACTGTATCTTGCTGGGGGTGAATAAAGAGAGAATAAAAGAGAGGTAAATTCCACTCAGCCCCTTTTCTTCGCTCTCCAAACATCAAACTCCGCCGGCCGACCCACAGGATCCCGAACAAGTGGAAGATATGTGCCGGTCCAGACCCTTCGCACAGCTAAAAGCAGACCTTCATAAGCGTTTCCGGGTAGTATTCGCACACCTGAACTGGCACGTCGGGGACACAACTGTTTTTGATACACAAGAACACACACCACCCATCTAGGACTCAGGGGCAGCAGGCTTGGGCTCCTCAGCCTTGTCCTCGGGAGCGGCGGCGGTCTCCTCCTCGGGCTTGTCCTCCTTGGGGGCAGCGCCCTCGGGCTCGTTGCCATCAGAAGAGGTCCACAGAGTAAGGTTGTCACGCAGGAGCTGCATGATCAGGGTGCTATCACGGTAGCTCTCCTCCGAAAGCGAGTCGAGCTCCGCAATGGCGTCATCGAACGCCTGCTTGGCAAGGTGGCAGGCACGATCGGGGGAGTTCAGGATCTCGTAGTAGAAGACGGAGAAGTTCAGGGCGAGACCAAGGCGGATGGGGTGGGTAGGAGTAAGATCGGTCTGGGCGACATCGGTAGCATTCTGTCACGGTCGTTAGTGCGAGTCCTCCGATATAGCACGCAACTTGAAGAGCCCACCTTGTAAGCCTCGTGGGCAGCAGTGGCAGCGACCTTGCGCTTGTTGCCAGAGGCAAACTCAGCGAGGTAGCGGTGGTAGTCACCCTTCCTACAGTTCGTACAACAGTCAGCGTCTGCCCTTTTACTACTTGCCAGTAAATGCCTTTTCCTCCTGAAAACCAAGACTCACATCTTGTAGTAGAAGACCTTGGACTCGCCAGTCTCGGCCTTGGGGATGAGGGACTCATCGAGAACATCGAGGACATCCTGGCAGACCTTCTCGAGCTCGGTCTCGATCTTCTGGCGGTAGTCACGGATGATCGAAACGTGCTGCTCAGAGCCCTTGGACTCCTCCTTCTGCTCAATGGAGGAGATAATACGCCACGAGGCACGGCGGGTACCGACCACGTTCTTGTAAGCAACGGAGAGAAGGTTACGCTCATCGACGGAAAGCTCGCCTCCAATCTGATGCGGGGTCAGCTTGACCCACGGGTAAAAGGGGGTTACGGGGAAAAAGGGGGGGCTTCTCGTCAGAGGGAGGTAAGGGGGTCATACGTTGGCGACTTCCTGTACAATAGTTAGCGATTATGCTTGTTGAGAGCCCAGGGGCTGACAGGCGGCTACTGACCTTCATGTACGTGACCATCTCTATAGGCGGTAGGGATCAGCATGTGAAGCCAACATGGCAGAGCAGTAAACAGGCATCTTACCATCGTAGCGCTCAGCCTGCTCACAGAGCCGGGCGAGGAACGTCTTGCTGCAGAAGGGTGAAGTGTCAGTGTTGCTGTTGTCGGTCACTGGTCGAGACGGGTCTGGATCCTTACTTCTCACGCTGCAAGTAAAGGGGGGAGAACAGTTAGCTGAGTCCAGACTAATCGCGACACAACGACTGAGAGAGCACAAGAGAATTCCCAGCCATAGGAATACATGCGGCTAGGAATTAAACGGCTACAACTGGACGGACGCCAGGTGAAGCCGCCAGAGCAGAGAGAGGGGTCAGGCTGAGGGGGGGTGGAATAACATACCTCAGAAGTCATAGTAGGCGATCTGATGGAGATAAGGGGATTGGGAAAGACGGTGGTTGGTTTGGTAGACGGTGAAAAGGAGAGAGTAGAGGTGCAAGATACCGAAGTAGAGCACGAGACAACGGAGAATGGGATGAAAAGAAGATGGGAATCACGAGAGGTTTGGCAGATGTGATCCTCCAGCAACGAGTGATGGACGGTGAAGGTGACGACCAGCCAGCTTTAGCGAGAAGCGGGCGCCTCGTCTGTTTGCGATGTTTGCTCTTGCAGCCTCAGGCAGCGTCATGGTGAGTCAGCAGAAAGTCTTCTGCTGGTCACCTGCTTCGGCCGGTCACTGGACCCTGACGTAATCTAGCAATAACCACACCGAGTTCAAAAGGCCAACTAGGCAATAAATGGTTAGTGACTCCTAGTTGAGCGGTCGCTCTCAATAATTAGTGAAAGTCTCCCAATTATGCGGCATAGTAACAACCCAACAACCCCAAACGGAGAGCATATCTGGAAAATAGTAGTAGTATAGGAGCTGTAAATAAAGGTCGTCAGAAAACCCATATCTGAAATCACTCAGGCAGCCCATGACTACTTTAAAGAGTCTTGTTGCCAGAGTTGGGAACCCACCATAAAAGGGCGGCTAATGATACCAGTTCATGTGGTAGATAAAATCACACTCATTTTCCCCTTGAGTTGAACCACCATGCTCTTATGTTCATCAAGACCAGCATCCCCTCTGGTCCCTGGTGTCTTTTTAACCGCCAAATCCGTTTTATTCTGCCGGTTATTCTCTACCGCACAACCGGTGAAGATGTTATACGTCTCGCTTCTCCACCCTCAACGGGCTGTGGTACCCTGAGCTATGCTCCGTATCTCCGATGATCGTCTATTCAGAACGCACGAGACGAGAAAAAAAAAGGATGTTGAGAGCCCGGCAGATGACAAGTTCACCGGTTATTGCCCGATCAAAATGAAACCCTTATTTTTGCTCTCCCTTTTAGATTGACCGTGCTTTTGGCCATGCAAACTAAAAGACAACTATGGGTTCTCCTACTACTAAATACACGCCCTTCCTGCGGAGATTACGCAGTACGGCAACAACCACCCAGACAAGCGGGCTGCTGAGTTAAGACCGGACATTGGAGTTTCAGAAGAAGAACCACCACCAATACAACGCTGGACGGTATGAAATCATTTTCTGGAGCAGTGTGGACGGGCCCTCTGCCCTACAGGGCGCCTACAAGGGCCGGACTAGGCAAGCTGTCGTACCCTCTGGTGTGGATGGGGTGGAAGATCGATGACTTGTTTGGGGCAGGTGCTCCGGGTCCGACACCATGGCGGAAAGCACGGAATCGAATCAAAATCTACGAGAGAAGAGAGGCCTCCACCAGTGTTATGCAGCACCTTCCAATCCGAGGAGCGAGACCCCGCTAAATGAGCGCCAAATGAACCAGGATGACTGCAAATTGTATGGGACAAGTGATTTTAGTTCGAATCTTGGGCCAGCCTGGAAGGCATCATCGTTTCGCAGTGGAGAGTGTATTGGTATTGTTATGGTCGAGCGGTGGGTTTCTCGCTTGCAGAGAGACAAGTTGAGGGAGATAACGCCGAGAATGAAAATGGATACGTAGGAAGATTATTTAGAACTATTAAGAAGGCTGTGCAATGTTGGGGGGGAGAAAATGCGTCCCTTTTTAATTTCCTTTTCTTTTTTTTTTTTTTTCTTATTTTTCACCCTTTCCCCTAATGGATCACTGTAATATCCTTCAGCTTGGTTTCTCAGGGATTTTATTATAACATGCAAGATAACAGACACAAAGCTATAGAACTTTTGTAAGAAGATACGAGGATAATCCAGTCGTAGAGACTACTAAACAGGCCAACTCCAACGCCCGGACTCACCAAAGCACGGTCATGGTATGGTTCAGCCCTGTCGGATTGGAACCGGCAATTCTGGCACAGCGACGGGGGGGACCAGATGGATCCAGACACCGCAAATGAAGAGAACACGTTGAGTGCCTGACAAAGCCGCCTCTGGTTCACGGTTCCCGAGCCCCCAGAGGCAAAATCCCTGGCCCATCATTCGGTCCTTGTATGGAATGGGACATTTATTTATAAGTTAGAAATCATCATTTTTTGCCATCTTCTTACAAACCAGAGTCACTCAGAAGGTTAACCCTGGTTATCTTTCTTTCCTTTCTTCCTTCCTTCCTCCTCTTCCTTCCCCGTGCTTGGCTGACGGTATTTGGTATTGGTCTTGCCCGGTATTATTAACTACGGTACTATCTGGTATGTCCGCTTTTCACTCCCCCATCCTATCCTACTATCTACTACTCTTCTAGATCCTTCCCGCTAGGGGACTAACCTCTCCGACTTGATTGCAGTGCCACTCACTAGGTCCCAAGCTTCCGGCCACTTGGCGTTCATGTCTTGATCTGGGTTATATCCCCGATCTCTTCCCTTCTTTTCCTCTCTCTTCCTTCCTTGTTGCTCCCGCTCCAGGCCACCTTGCGCTTTCGTGGAGTCCCCAACATGGAGCACTCCTACCTTTATTCCCCAGCCGAAGTGCTGGACCATTTTGATGTCAAAGAGAGCTCTGGTCTGTCGCAACATCAGGTCTCTCAATCGAGAAAAAAGTATGGTCCTAATGGTAGGTTGCAGCTTTCTTACCCCCATGAGTAATATCGCAGGCACTGACCGGCGGCTCGAACTTTCATAGCCCTTGCGGAAGAACCACCGACCCCTCTTTGGCAACTTGTGCTGGAACAATTCAAGGACCAACTGGTCCTGATTCTACTGGGCTCCGCTGCTGTATCCTTCGTTCTGGCTCTTTTCGAAGAAGGAGATGACTGGTCCGCCTTCGTTGACCCCGTTGTGGTATGAGCTTGAAATCCTCCCGAGTCTGGCGCGCGTCGACCCAAGTCACTAACCAATCCTGTTATACCATAGATCTTGACGATTCTGATTTTGAATGCCGTGGTTGGTGTTACCCAGGAGAGCAATGCTGAGAAGGCTATTGCTGCTCTCCAGGAATACTCTGCAAATGAAGCCACTGTTGTCCGTGATGGCGTTACCAAGCGTGTCAAGGCGGAAGAACTGGTTCCCGGAGATATTGTCGTTGTTGCGGTTGGAGACCGTGTTCCAGCGGATTGCAGGCTACTTGCCGTCCACAGCAACAGCTTCCGAGTGGATCAAGCCATCCTGACCGGTGAGAGTGAGAGTGTGAGCAAGGACACCCGCACTGTTCATGACAAGCAGGCCGTTAAGCAGGATCAAACCAACATGCTTTTCTCTGGTACCACCGTTGTTAATGGACACGCTACCGCCATTGTGGCCTTGACCGGTGGATCGACCGCGATTGGTGACATCCACGAGAGCATCACCTCCCAGATCTCGGAGCCAACCCCACTGAAGCAGAAGCTTGATGATTTCGGAGACATGCTGGCTAAAGTAATTACCGTCATTTGTATCCTGGTGTGGGTGATCAACATCGAGCATTTCAACGACCCTTCTCATGGAGGCTGGACTAAGGGAGCCATCTACTATCTCAAGATCGCAGTGTCTCTGGGTGTGGCTGCCATTCCCGAGGGTTTGGCTGTTGTCATCACCACCTGTCTCGCACTTGGTACCCGCAAGATGGCTCAGAAGAACGCAGTGGTCCGTTCGCTTCCCTCCGTGGAGACTCTCGGCAGCTGCAGTGTGATTTGCTCCGACAAGACCGGAACTCTGACCACCAACCAAATGAGCGCAGAGAAGATGGCGTATCTGAATGCGGCCGGCAACGGTGTTGAAGAGATTGATATTGAAGGCACCACTTTTGCGCCTGAAGGTAAAGTCACTCGCGATGGCAAGGAAATCCAGAACATTGCCGTGTCCTCGGCCACTGTTCGGCAAATGGCGGAGGTCATGGCTCGCTGCAACAGTGCGACTTTGGCCCACGATGCGAAAAACGGCTCATTTTCCTGTATCGGTGAACCTACTGAGGGTGCGCTGCGTGTTCTGGTCGAGAAGATTGGCACCGATGATGCCGCTACGAATGCGAAGCTGTTCCGCCTCCCCGCCTCCCAGCGGCTCCATGCCGCAAGCGCGCACTACGAAGCTCGCCTGCCCTTGAAAGCAACCTACGAATTCTCGCGTGACCGGAAGAGCATGTCCGTGCTCATTGGAAATGATAAGGAACAGAAGCTACTCGTCAAGGGTGCTCCCGAGTCTATCTTGGAGCGGTGCACGCATGTTCTTCTTGGAGCTGATGGAAAACGGGCATCTCTCACGAAGTCTCATCTTGACAGGCTCGCTGCTGAAGTTGTGGGTTACGGTAGCCGCGGTCTTCGCGTGATGGCTCTGGCTAGTGTCGACAATGTCAGCAACAACCCTCTGCTTCACAACGCTCAGTCGTCTCAGGACTACGCTCAGCTGGAACAAAACATGACTCTTATCGGACTTGTCGCTATGCTCGATCCTCCCCGCGTTGAGGTTGCGGCTTCCATCAAGAAATGCCACGATGCTGGAATTCGGGTTATCGTCATTACCGGTGACAACCAGAACACCGCCGAGTCGATCTGCCGTCAGATTGGTATCTTCCATGAGGGCGAGGATCTCAAAGGCAAGAGCCTTACTGGAAGGGAGTTTGACGGCCTCTCGGACGCTGAGAAACTCGAGGCTGCTAAGACTGTGTCTTTGATTTCCCGCACCGAGCCTAGTCACAAGTCCAAGCTGGTTGATCTTCTCCAATCTCAAGGCCATGTGGTTGCCATGACTGGTGACGGTGTTAATGACGCCCCTGCGCTGAAGAAGTCGGATATTGGTGTGGCTATGGGAACAGGTACCGACGTTGCTAAGCTGGCTGCTGATATGGTTCTGGCCGACGACAACTTTGCCACCATTACCGTGGCCGTGGAAGAGGGACGTTCCATCTATAGTAACACTCAGCAGTTCATCCGCTACCTCATCTCTTCGAACATCGGCGAAGTGGTGTCGATCTTCTTGACCGCCGCCTTGGGCATGCCTGAAGCCTTGATTCCCGTGCAGCTTCTCTGGGTTAACCTTGTTACCGATGGCCTGCCTGCTACCGCGCTCTCCTTCAACCCCCCTGACCATGATGTGATGAGACGCGCCCCCCGCAAGCGCGATGAGCCCCTGGTTGGTGGCTGGCTTCTGTTCAGATACATGGTGATCGGCACTTATGTCGGTGCGGCTACAGTCTTTGGCTACGTGTGGTGGTTTGTGTACAACCCTGAGGGTCCCCAGATCTCCTTCTGGCAATTGGTAAGATATGCATCGTCTAGTCTGCCTGAATTTCCTCCCAGCCTTGCTAATCCCTGCGCAGTCTCACTTCCACAAGTGTTCCTCTCAGTTCCCCGAGATTGGATGCGAGATGTTCTCGAACGATATGTCCCGCTCGGCGTCTACTGTGTCTCTTTCGATCCTGGTCGTCATTGAGATGTTGAACGCCATGAACGCACTTTCGTCCAGCGAATCCCTCCTTACATTTGCTCTCTGGAACAACCCCATGCTGGTCGGTGCCATCATCCTTTCGATGGCATTGCACTTCGCGATCTTGTATGTGCCCTTCTTGCAGGGTTTGTTCTCGATCCTGCCCCTGGACTGGATGGAATGGAAGGCCGTCGTGGCCATTAGTGCCCCGGTTGTGTAAGTCAATCTATTGAACTGCCATACCCCTCAAGAATGTTGCTGACCGAAAACCTAGGCTCATCGATGAGGTCCTTAAGTTGGCGGAACGTCGTCTGTACAATAACATCCCGGCAAGATCTACCGTGGTACAACAGAACGGAGGAGTTGGGAAGCCTAAGAGAGCGTAAATTTGAGCAACGAAGTGATGACTCGAATATGAGGGGGTGCATTGATGATAGATATAGATATCGGCCCTCCAGCCCTGTTATATTTTGGTTTTCTGCTGTTGGGTGGTTGATCACATGTACGTAAAACATGTTGGATGTTCTGATTGCATAAGAACAACGAAGAGACGAATTGTGTCTGTACTTGAAAGTCCCTTGGTTGTAACTGTCTGGTCGTATACGAGTTGAGAGTAACTGACAGTCACGTTGTCCGGGCCCCGTGACATGGACAGGGCCATTGTCTCTCAATGAAAGAAGCAGCACTATCAGTATTAGCCCTCTCGACCCAGCAATCGCAATCTCAGTCGGGACTGGTTTAGCCCGGCTAATTCCACTCAGTGGCCTGCTATCAAGTACCCCCCTTGCTAGCAGGCAGCAAGATCTGATTTTGTCGCATATGCAGCTGGGCGTGCATAGTCAGTCTTGTCAGGTTATTAGCCTAATTTCCCCGACTGCGGAGTAAGGCCAGCAAGAGGGATATAAGGATGGAGGGGAAATTAGGGAAATTGGCAAGCCATCTTAACCTTCTTTCACTACCAGGGCAAGCCAAAGCCAATAAACTGTCATCGCTAACTATTCTCACTCGCTCAGCTAGGATCAAATGGATGCGGGGGAAACCGCCGAGAAGAAGTTTACGGCTGCTGCTACTGCTGCTAACCGCCAACACTCATGACCCTCGCGCTTTACGAGGAATGTCACCCTGGAATTGACGCACCTCGAGCAACTGGGCTGGCTTCTAACGGCTAAAGATTGGTTGCGCTACGCATCATGGGATGTCGGCCCGTTTCGACTCCTCACTGGTGGATTCTGACCGGTGATCCTTTCCAAGGATTGTCGGGATTTGTGGGGAAGAAGTCTGGGGATGGCGGTGCTACTGCCCGTCTTCAAGCTTGGCTGGGCCTTCAGAACCAATTCCAGTGAGAGGAGAATGAGGGGGACTTTTAGTTGAGAGAGTGTTTTTTGGGTTGATGCCAAGGAATGGACTCACATGGGTAGCAAAGACGATGCCCTCATGCTGAACGAAGTAGTACATAAGGAGCCAGGGTGCCAATGTCTGGGGGCTATTCCTTGTGCTTGAACCCCCTGCAAGCGTTGCTTGTCTTTTCATTAATTCCACAGGCTGCTTCGGTATATTTTTTCTTTACTTTACCAGAGTCACTTGTTCTTGTCTATTGTATTCTCTTTCCATCACTGCCCTGGGTTTACTTCCTTCTCCCTACCCCACAGAATGGGGCTCCTCCACTTTCTTAAGACCCGGTCTGGGTTCCGGGTTGACAATAGCAGGACTACTTCTGCAGCTACCCTGACCTTACGCCAGAGTCTTTGGCCCCTGACCCTTGTTACTATACTCTTCTTTCTCTGGGTAAGCTGTGCACCAGCCCAGCCCTTACTCGATTTAACCGGCTAATACAATCTTCCACCAGGGTTTTGCCTACGGCCTGCTCGACACACTCAATAAACATTTCCAGAACACTCTGCATATCACACGGACACGTTCCTCGGGTCTTCAAGCAGCCTACTTTGGGTCAGTCAGACATTTGCTAGGCTTTGTACATGTGACAATCAACTGATCATCGTTAGTGCTTATCCTCTTGCATCCTTGGGATATGCAAACTACATACTCCGTCACTTCGGATACAAAACCGTCTTCATCTTCGGGCTCACTCTATATGGCATCGGTGCCCTCTGCATGTGGCCTGCAGGCTTAAACCGATCGTTTGGTGGCTTCTGCGCAGCTACCTTCGTTATTGGCTCGGGCCTAGGATCGTTGGAGACCGCTGCCAACCCGTACCTTACGGGTTAGTCAACCATCCATGTCCCGCCTCCAGCTGACGCTGTGAGAGGAAATAGTGAAAAGCCTGCTAACTATTGAAACGATCAGTTTGTGGTCCACCCAAATACGCCGAGATCAGAATCAATCTCGCCCAGGCGTTCAACGGCATCGGCACCTGCGTCGCACCAGCCCTAGCGTCATACGTCTTCTTCACATCCACTGAGGATGACGTGAACGCTCTCAAGCGAGTACAATGGGTGTATCTAGCCATTGGCATCTTTGTCTTCGTTCTTGCCGGAGTCTTCTTCGTTTCCACCATCCCTGAAGTAACCGACGAAGACATGGCCTTCCAGGTGGCCGAAACGCACGTTGGCGAAGAGAATAAACCATTCTGGAAACAGTACAGGCTGTTTCACGCCACGTTGGCGCAATTTACTTATACCGGTGCCCAAGGTACAAACACCTCCTACGCTCCCTTTACACACTACAATCCAGAATACTAACCTGCTGCTGCTGCTGCTGCTCCATAGTCGCCATCGCAGGCTACTTCATCAACTACGTCGTCGAAACCTGGCCCGGAACCACCAGCGCCACCGGCTCCAAATACCTCGCCGGTGCCCAAGGAGCCTTTGCAATGGGCCGATTCCTCGGCGCGATCATCATGAGATTCGTCAAAGCTCGCTGGGTATTCCTAGCATATCTCTCACTCACCGTAGCATTCATCGCCGCATCCATAACCCAACGTGATCAAAAAGGCATAGGTACGTTACCTTTTCCCTCTTTCCATCCATCATCAATCCGTCCAGTCCAAACAAACACCAAAGAAAGAATGAAGATCATCATCATCCTAATCCGCATGTCGATCTATCTAGCAATGCTCTTCCTCACCCTCTTCTTCGAATCCGTCTGTTTCCCCACCATCGTAGCACTAGGTATCCGCGGTCTCGGCCGACACTACAAGCGCGGCTCGGGCTTCATTGTCGGCGGTGTGTCCGGTGGTGCCGTCGTGCCTCCAATCCTGGGTCATGTAGCCGATATGCGGAATAGTACGGGCTTTGCGATGATCGTTCCGACTATGTTCATGGTTGTGGCGTGGACGTATGCCCTCGCGGTGAACTTCGTGCCGGCGTATCGGGATATGGTTGATAAGGTGGGGGAGAGTGAGATTGGGTTGAGAGATGAAGCTAGTGTCAGTCCGAAGGATGTTGAAAGTGGTGGTGATGGGTTGGCGGATATGGAGAAAGAGAAAGGAGAGGAAACTGCTCGCGTGGAATACACTAGATAATTTCTACATGAATGCAGTTGCTCGGCGCTGCATAGTGGTTAACATTCGCCATGACGTCTCATGTTGTTTACGAGTTCATTAACGATCTACTGCTCTGCTTACTATAATACCTCTGATGCGGGTGTGGGCATTAAAAGTGAAGTCTATTCTATCGGAAACAGAATCGGGAATATACACAATCCAGGATCAAAGAGGCCGAGAGCGCACGCAATGGACGGTGGACAAATCTAAACTGCGTTGATCAGCAGGGGTTTTTCCTCGTGTCTGCACCTTTGAACCAGCCTTGCGCGTCACTTCGTCCAAGATCCAGAATTTGAGTATCTCCATGGGCAGCCGTATGAAGGGGATATCTCTAGTAAAAAGAAAGAAAGAAAGAAAAGAAAAGAAAAAAAAAAAAACAAGTACAGGCAGGAAAGGTATGGAGACAATAGGGAAGGGGTAAACGATAAACGCATAATAGGATACACAGAAAGGGAATGCGAAGGTGTGCATGATCCGATGTCCTGGTCAGAGAAGATAAGCATCATTCAAGTTCTTCTAAAGTAGATAGGATGAAGGAAGGGTAGAATGGGAAGGGTGTAATAAAGGAAAACAAGAGGGATGGGATGGTATACAAACGCCTCCCAACTCGTCATCCGATCATTATTTTGCGCGCCGCATCATGAAGAAAAGGCTAGAAGAACAGAAGAGAAATCAATGTCCAAGAAATTTTAGCTCCTTATAGACGCAAAGAAAAAGGGGTATAAATGTGTATGAGAAAACAATCAATCAAACATGTCAACAATGTACTCAGCAAGCTTGTACTCTATGGTCGCTGTCGCTTATGTCTTCTTGGCTCTCCGTTTCCTGGATTCGTGACTCCTAGGATATGGCGACACTGACAATCCTGAGACACCGCATTCTAATCGGGTGTCACTCAATCAAGATGTATGGGGTGGGCGCGGAGTCGACTCGAGTTCGGCAGCAGGAGCTAGGGTTGGTTTGCCGATTCGCCCGAGGGGCGATCCCATCAGATGCCCAGCGCCTGTGTGGTCTTCTGAAGCAGTCGAGTCGACTGGCGAGCCTGGCCCTTCATCCAGGCCATCGAATGTATCAACTTCTTCAATATCTTCCTCCATGTCTTCTTCCTCTTCTATAATTTGGCTTTTTCGTGCCCCAGGTCGAGCTGCAGCTGCGACTGCAGGGCCTCCAATGCCGATGTCGCCATTTGGGTACTCTGTGCTTGCCATTCCACCAGAAACCATAAGATTGGCAGTGTGGACCATAGGTCCCTTGAAAGCGGATCGTTTTCGGCGTGCAAAGACGAGGCTTGACGAAGGGGAGTAGAGCAGTGGTGTTGGAGCTGCCTCATTGAACATGTTATTGATCCTCCCGTTAGGGTCATCAATGTCACGGAATCCGTTCTGCGTGCCCCGCACCAAACGTATATTACTGGGAAACCGGGCAGAGGCACTTGGCGTCGTGGGAAGGACTTTGACTGATGTGTGAGGGGATTTCGAAATTCGAGCCGTTGGGGTCGACGCTGAACCAATACTATTCGACGAAACGGATGATGCTTTAGAGTGGCTATGGGCATGATGGATGCTGCGAATAGAGGACACAGAGGATGAAGTGGACTTGCGGCCACGTAGACCTGCGGAGGACCGCCGGTATGAACCTCTTGGAGTAATTGGAGATGGCGAGAGAGAGTTTCTCTGGCTAGTGCTCAAGGGACGATTGTGGCGAGGGTAGGAATGGCGGTTGTTCGGATAGGAAGCACTGCTAGGGGCTAAGCTGCTGGCGTTCGATGAGCGCTTGATCTGTGTTGGCGTCAACAAGTCACCAGAGTGAGCGGTGGCCCCAGATGCCGAAGTGGGCTTTTTCCCAGTATCCTGGCCCTTGGCTGGGCTCAATTTCTCGGAAAGGAACTTGCGATGGCCTCCTTGACTCCCAGCGGCCTTGGCGTGAGGAGATTTGGCTCTCTTTGCAGACTCTACAAACCAGTGTTTCAACGAGGCCAACTGGCTGATTATCGGGTACTGGCGGCGACCGGTGCGGCGTCTAAAGATGCCATTGTTGTGCTGGGCCAATTCAGGCTGCGATGCGCTCACATGCAACGTGCTCGGCCGTCGCGCTTGATCCTTCGGCGGTGGTGGGGGACGCTGCCGGGTCGAACTAGCAGAACGAATGGAATCTTTGTCAATAGGCGGGGGAGGTGTGCTAGAATCCGGTGACTGCAGGGGCGCCGGCTCGGGAAGCATTGGCAGCTCCGGGACAGCAAGCTGGGAGGGGAGGCTCCGCCTGTCTCGCCGCCCTCGTTCACGAAGATGAGCGTCTGAGGCGTGGCCCTCTTCGTCGACTTCAACAAGGGCGGCCGAGATCTTTTCCAGCCGACTGCTTGCTGCACTCAAGCGACGAATATTCTTAGCTTCCGCTTCTCTCTCGCGTCGTTTACGCTCCCTCTTCTGCTCTTTCCGCTGCTCCTTTTCGATCAACAATGCCCACCAGCCAGCGAGGGGGTCACAGCGTTGAGAAAGGACGCTCTCAACAACCTCATCGATATTGACTCCTGCGCTCTTCATGCGCTGCAGTGTGGTCCTCTCCAAAGGAGTCGAGAAGGCGGCCGGGCGCGGAATTTTGAGAATCGCCAACTGTTCGGGGGCATGCTCTGCAAGAAACGGATGGGCAAGGATTTCGTCCAGGCTGGGTCGAATAAGGGGCCGTTTCGACAGGAGTGAATTGATGAGTGCTTTGGCATCGTCGGTGAATTTATCATTGAAGACGGCGTCTTCGCCAAGGATCCGAGCCTTTGTTACTTGGTCGTCATCATCATCGAATGGCAACTCCCCAGCGAGCAGGGCGTAAAGAATGATACCCAGGCTCCAGACGTCCACCTTTTCGCCAGCATACTTCTCGCCCTTCAGCATTTCAGGGGCGCTATAGCATACTGTCCCGCAGAATGTCTGTAAGTAACTCGCCTTGCCCTCATATTCTCGAGTAAACCCAAAGTCGCAAAGCTTCACGTTCTCATGTTTGTCGAGTAAGATATTCTCTAGTTTCAGGTCACGGTGAACACAAGATTTGCTATGGACATAGGCAACGGCTCCCACTAGTTGTGTGAAGATTCGCTTGACTTTGTCTACCGGTAACGGACCATGTCGGAGGAGATAGTTGTACAGCTCGTCACCTGCCCAAGTGTGTTAGCGGCATCCTACTACATCTACAGCAGCATCTCGCGACGTACCCGGGCAGTACTCGAGAACAAGCCAGACCAGCTTTTCCGTCACAATGACTTCGTAGAGGCGGGCAATATGGGGGTGGAGGAACTGGCGGTGATGATGGATCTCGCGAGCCAAATTTCTGTCTTCCTTACTCGAAGACTTAAGCACCACCTGCGCGTAATCTGGTCAGGTCTATCTGACACATAAGGAGTGGGCTGCGTCATAGGCGTACCTTGGAGCCATTGGTAAGCTTATGTGAGGCAAGATATACTTTGCCAAAGGAACCCTTCCCGATTAATCTCCCAAGTGTGTAGTTTCCTACAGTGCGAAGGTCTTTCGAAGAGAACTCCCTATGGAGACGACTACCGTTAGCATCCATGCTGGAAGACGAAGGCGAGA